CGCACCAAAGCCAAGTAAAAAGAATGGTGGAAAAAAAAAAAAAAAAAAAATTAAGTACGAGACCAGCACCGCAAAAGTAAAAAAATAAAAAATGTTGTGCACCTATTTTTTTCCTCTATTTTTTTAGGACATTATTATACTTTTTTTTTCTGTACTCTCATAAGATACTGAGCATGCATGACAGTTTTTTTGATCTTTATTTGAAGGTGATTTTACACACAAAGGGGGCGAGATAGACAGAACTGCACATGCGTAGTATCGAAACGTTATCTCATGCATTAGTGCTTATCACCACACTGCTCGCAACCACTCACTTGTGCAACCCTATTTCCCCCTGTCTTAATACAACCTAACGAAACGGATCTGAGCAGCGATTGAACGAACTGAGCGACGATGAACAGAAAGTTCTTCTTAGTAATAACATTTTAGAAGAGTCCTTTAGGAAAATATGTAACTATAATTTTGTCCAGAAGCATTTTTCGAATATCTTTTGCGACAACTTGCACATGTTACGCGAAGAAAGTAATTTGTCCCTGTTACACTTATTATTGACAAAGGTGAGAGGAGGAAAAATTCTCTTAACATATCACTTCCTTAAAAAAAAATAAATTTTATTTTTTCCTTTTTTCCAATTTTTACACTTATTACGATTTTTTGACACGTCAGGGGAAGTGGAAAACTGGGCCATTTTTGAGAATATTAAAAAATTATATAATGTATAACAGTAAGTGAAGAAAAAACAAAAAAATGGCGCCCAGATAATTTTTATAGACCTTTTCTATTGCTCCCTTTTGTCATTTTTAAAGTGCTCATATGCACACTTTAAGGAATATCTTTTTGCGAATCTACAATTTTTAGAAAATCTGGAAATGCTCGCATATTTGAAAATATACGAAAAGATTTATGAATATACAATTCAAAATATATTTTTGGAGAATTGCCAGGATTTCGACCTATCCAGAGAGATAGTAATAAAATAGCACCCGCGTTTAGCATATTGCTGCTTCATCTTTGTTCGTCCACTAATAGGTTTTTTTTGGGGGGCATATATGCCCCTGTGTGAAGTGGCAGTCTACCGAAAAATACAAATATGTATATGCATGCGTGCATGTGCATTTGTGCACAATAGCGATAGGGGAATAAAAATGCATGTGGATGAAGGCGTACTGTCCGTTTGCTAAGTACATTCATTCCCCTATTTTTTGCGCAGCTAAATTTTTTCTGGTTCTCGACAAACCATGAATTAAAGGCTCAGTCATTTGAGGTGAGACAGAACAAGGGGAAAAAATGGGGGGAAAAGCGGGTTAACTAAAAGTAAAAATGCGCTCCAGATACACACTTGTCATCAGAAAAGGGAAGAATGTTATACACATTGCTTCAATTTATGTTATTTAATTGTGCTTAATTCTGATTTGTACACACTGTGCAGATGTCGATGTGCCACTTTGAAAAATTATTTTTAGTGAACAAGCATAACATGGGGCAACATACAAAAGAGTACCTTGCGCAGTTGGAGAAAGGTGAGACATGCAAAAAAAAAAAACAGAAAAAGAAAATATCTCCTAATTTTATGCTTTCATTTTAAGAATAAAATTCGACGATATAATGTTTGTCCAAAAATAATTGCAAAACGAAATTTTGTGAAATTATAATTTCTGCAGATGCCTACTTGAAAAAATTTGTGCATTGAAACGGAGGACTCTTTTTTTTTTTTTTTATTATCATTGAAATGGCTCAAAATGAATCAAAACATTGAAAATAAAATTTTTATATTTTAAAAGAGCACTTATAAACATTGAATTTAGTACCGTAAACGCACCAATTGGATATATCGCGTAAAAAAATTACACGAATAGCACAAAAAAAAAATTTTTCAGTGTAACGTGATAAAAACGGAGTAATAAATTCATTGTTTTCTTAGATACTTTTTTTTTTTTAAGCCCCCTTTTTTATTATTATTTCTTCTAGTCCATCATGCTCAGATTCTGACTTACACACGCGACAAGGGTCATAGATGCTCAATTGATAATTAATTATGTACATGAGTGTGCACAAGCAAGGAATGTAGCATGCAAGTGTGCAAAGGCGTCGGAATAGAGATCATTGCTTCCGACCCCGAAATAAAAATCCGAAAATTTCTTTACAAGTGCACTGTTGATAAAGCAGCTCAAGACTAAATTCTTTTTTTTTTTTTTTTCGAAATTGGTTATAAAGAGAAAAATACTTTATGATCGAGCACTAAATACTTTTAAAAAAGGCTAATTATTGAAAAACAAAAAAAATTTTTTTGTTTTCTCATAATGTCAGTTTTCATTCATGTCCCCATGCATGTTTTATATATGTGATGAATTTTGCGTATGCAAAGAGGGAAATTATCATTACACAAAAATTAGTCCAATAAAATTAATGTAATAATATTTTCCTCGTTTAGTGAACAAAAATTTCCTTTTTTTGGCATCAAAATTGAATAAATACAATTATCCAGCGAAATCGATCAAAAAAAAAAAAAAAAAAGGAACAATGTTTGCACGCTTTTGGAAATGGGTATATATCATAATACGAAGAATAGGGAAGCAGTGCATAATTAATACGTAATTCATTTAAACCACTAGTATATATATTTAAAGGGTTACAATTCATTTACGGGTCTAGGTTACATTTTTATTGTATTTTCCCAAATTGTACATGAAAAGACCTAAGTTTTTTAAGGGATACATTGATTTTTTTAAATTATTTCCCATTTGCAATATTATAAAGGACAAAATGAGCTTAAATATTTGTAAGTTCGTAATTTTCTTTTTTAGTTTACATTTTTTACTAATTTTCGATAGAACAAAACAGAACAGACCGGACATTTCACAATGAAATGTTTGCGATGGTTTTACACTGCTCTAATGGTAAATGTCGCGTGCTGTATGCTTTCCTTTTTGTATTTTTTTTTTTTTTTTGTTTTTTATAATTCTAAATATGATCACATTCTAGTGGTGCTCTATTTTGGCAAAATTAAATTTGGTTTAAGTTATTTCTCATGCGTTAAAACAAAACATTTTGACGCCTTTTCTTTTAACAAAACTCATATTCAAAAAATGATGATTGAAGAAAGAAAAAAAAAAATTGCTTCCCTGTTACGAGTTGCTATATATATTATGCGTATGAAACACGCGGTTGTTTGTTCTTTGCCTAATTTACGCTACCATTTTTTATAATTTTAATTCGACGTCCACTGGTTGCCATTGTTCTGGCTTTTATAATCGATAAAATTTTATCATATATAAGTGCACTTGGCCAAAAAAACGAAAAATATTTTTACATGTAAAATGTACATGGCGGCAAATACGCGGTTGAGTAATGTACAGTGTTTATATGTACAATTGACCGTCCATGGCAGAAGAACATAAAAGGCACAAATTTTTTGCTACGTGTTGGAAAAATCCGATTTCAAAATTTGAATATGGAAAAGACATATTGAAAGTGCGTGTTTCCAGGGACCAGGAAAAACAATTATATACATATTTTGTACATATGTATATATATATTAATGTTTTTTAATATATTCATTCATTTATTGAATTTTCCTGCAAAATGCTTTGACTTAAAAGGAAATAAAAAAGAAAAACCATTTTTCGTTTAACTGTGCCCTTATGCATAGTTATTCATGTACATATATATATATTTTTTTTTTATTCCAAAACCGATGAGTATATATAATTCGCTTTTTTATAATTGTATGCCTTGCGATTATTTTCCGTATACATTTGTACATATGTATATAATTATATCCATGAAAAGATTATTTTTGTATGTAGATTATTTCAAAATTGCAAACTTGAGCACTTTGCATTTGCCTCAAGGATAAATATATATGTATAAATATTCGCGCAATTGCATGCTTGTATTATATTATATACGCGTACAATTGTATGTACGTTACGTTTGGTCCGTGTTGGCATACACTTTTGAGCGACCCTTGGTGCATATATATATATATACGTGGCGTTATATTTCGTATAAGTGCACCCGTGCATTTATATATTACATATGCACATATATATATTAGCAGTGCTGCGTGCACATTAAAACAGATCGATCGTGCGTGGATAGTGACAGACCGCAGTAGATCACATGCATGTAAGCAATCACTCATTTGAGTATTCTGGTAAACAACTTATTTTTTTTTATTTTTAAAATGTGTGTCACCACTGCGAACAAAGCGTTCGTACCTTACAGCTCGAATTAAAAAAAAAAAAAAAAAGCACCGCTAAGTACACGTCGCTCCTGCTAAGTATTCAGTGAAATGTTCATGTAGTTCTAATATTCATATGTATAAATTAATAAATGGCATTATTGAGAACACATACCTCACAAAAAAGGTCCAAAGAGATAAATGCGCAAAACCGTGAAGTGTCAAAGATGACATGGAGTTATATCGAATTACGTGAAGCGATGTGCTGTCCATATAAAATTGATGTGAAACGGCACGAAATAGTTTGCACTTCAAGCATAAACATGTGTATGTAATCTTATGTATATATTATATATATGTATGTTATATGCACATATTTGTACTGTATATATGTTATATATATATATACAAATACATTTAACTACATGTATTACCTTTACGCCCACGCGTCCACCGATAAAAATGAGTGTGTGAGAACACCCCTGATTTTTAAATATTCTTGCACTGTGTCGTAACCTGTGGCGTACATGCCAAACGGCACTTGCAGCCCGTGTGTACATATACATGTGCATTCATGTATATGTCAAGGCGTCATATAACTTTTTCCCACCCCCCTATGCACAATTAGACCACCTTTTAAAACAAGTTAAACGGGCCTGTGAAAACCAATATAGCAGGCGAATTCAGTATCTTTTTTGCAGCTAAGTTGTTACTCAAATGATATAAAATGAGAATAATTGTATATAATTTTACACTTATGCAATCCCAACCCGTGCAACATTGACACACGTATACATTATTGTAAATCACTGCCAGTGTCCGTGCCTGCGGACGGCTACTAATTACACTAATTGCCGCAATTAGCTTAGGTATCACAAATACCACCGTTGATATCGTTCCAGCGTTATCACCATTACAACCATTACCACCACTGTTATTAACTTTTTAATGGCATTTTTTTTGTTACCATTACATGATTATGCCCCAGTGAATGCACCCCCAAAATGAGCCCTAAAAATATAACTTCATTTGAAGTATGTATTCATTTTCATTTATAGTGGCAAAGCATTTTACTCAGTCAAGCAAAAAAAATTTACACATTCAACAGTGCCTTCTTACTAATAACTGTTTTTCGTTGTTGTTTTCTCATACTTACATGCTCCTATGTAAATGGAGCATATGTGAAAGCTTTCTCCCCTAGCTGTGGCGACCAAGTGAGGACGTACGTATGTAACTCTGCAACCGTGTGAAACAACATGTCAACCTATCTCTAGTAGGTCAACATATCGATAAAGCACAGAACACATGTGTATATTCATTTTTTTTTTTTTTTTTTTTTTTACATGTGAGAAGTACTTATACTTGTTTTTATTTTTGTTAGGAAAAATTTTTTTTTTTTTTTTTTTTTTTTTTTTTTTTTTTACATGTGAGAAGTACTTATACTTGTTACATACTCTCGCAACGCATTTGCATAATGCAATGAGTTCAAAAATAATGTGCATGAAAAATTTGAATTCAACTCATACTTTTTAATATTCAGGGTGGGGGGAAAAAAAAATTGGGGGAAAATAAGGAGGTTTTGATCTACATTTTGATGTGACCAGTCATTTGTGCCCCGTTGGCTAGCCTATATATATATATATTTTCTTCTAGCCCTGCAAAACATACATATTTATTTTTTCCGCGTGCTCCCTTGCACCTGTAGTATCATACATATATGTATGCATATAGGTACATACGTACACACCTATGTGCATATGTATGCAAATGAAGGCAGGTACCAGCACTATAGTGTACGGATGTATAGAGGCAGAATTGGCAAAGGTTGAATTTCACAAAGGCAAGATTGTACCAAGGTGCAACAGCACAGACGCACAGATGTGTGAGAGAACGAACATACACAAATGTTCGAACTGCAATAAGGGGAACGGAGAATTAGCAAACCGCGAATAGAACTGTGACAAGAGGCGAACTCTCTCGAATGCAGCTCATCGCCTAAACGCAAGCACGCGAAAAATACGAATGCATATATGGATGCACATACAGCACATCGACTCAACCTATTCGTGAATGCCCCACCTTCACAATAATAATGAACGAACAGAATTCCACGCATCTGTCAAGTATTACTTTCATTAATAGTAGTGAGGTCATAATCACTACTGAAATTAAAGAGGCCAATAAAAGAATGCAAGGAAATTACATAAATGACAATCAACGTAAAGTATGCTTTCTACAATAAAGGATTTGGATCATATTAAAAACCTTGTTCATACCTTAAAACCATTTCAAAAGGAATATGAAGATAATATTTTATTTCGAATAATTAAAAAAAAAGGAGATAAATATAGGTGTGAATGGGTTTTATTACTTAAAACGATTAGGGATGATTTCATAATGCAAAAAAAGGGTACCTTCATTGACGATATAAATGTTAAAAATGATCTTGGACATGCGCTTGAACAGCCAGGCAATGTACCTCAGCGCAAATGGGCCAATGCGAAGGAGGAGAAGGAAGAACAAGTACAGGAAAAAACTTTCGACTGTACTGATATGAAAGATATTATTCTGAAATATGTTTACTGCATCACCTACTTTGATAATTATATTACTAAATTAAGAAACGAAATTGGCATCATATACAATTCAGATAGTGACAATTTTTTAAATCAACGGATTAAAATAAATGACTACTTTACGAAGAAGAACAACAACAAACAATGCGATGAGATTGAACTTGCAAATTGTCATATGGAGGGCGATGGTAAATTCATTCACCATGGTGATGAGAAAGTAGGCTTGCTCAACGGCGCATTTGGCGACATGGGCAGGGGCGTTGATAACGGCATTGATAGAGGCGTCCGTGGTGGAAATATTCTTTGCAGCGAAAACTTAAAAGGCAACATTTGCAGCAGCGGCGACAAGTTTCGAAGTTGTGACGACTGCGGTGGCGCATCGACCGCGGGTGTGACCCGAACCAGCTTTGATAACGCGGGCCTCAAATTAAGGCAAGAAATAATATGTGCGAAAAATAGAGCGCCCAAGTGCAACTTGCGCAAAGTGGTAAATAGGAGTTCTAACGCCAACTCGAACGTCAGCACGTGCATAAGCGCACGAGAAAACGCGTTCACCAGGGTGAATTCGAGCATAAACTCAGGCGTAACTGCCATCTTAAATGATGACAGAAACGCGGACTCGAATGTTCATATGAATGCTGAGTTGAACACCCACTCAAACTTGGGCTCGATCACTGAGTCGATCGTTGATTGGATCGCCGATTCGATCGCCGACTCGATCGCTGATTCGATCACCGATTCAAACGTCCATTCGATCACCTACGATAACGCTCATGTCAGCTTCGAGGAAAATGTGGATGTGAATCCCAACTGTAACTACAACGAGTACACTGCGTGCGCATCGTCCAAAATGGAACATATGCCGAAAGGGGAAGATAAGTCCAAAGGACGAGAAGACGAAATGGATGTAAAAAATTGTGATGAGGAAGAGGAGGAAGAGAAACACTTGAGCTTTTTTAAAAAACTCTTTTACAACAAATTCAGATTTGAAAAGAGCAGCAAACCAGAGGAGAAAAGTAAAAGTTCGAATTCACATAATTTGTCTGTGAAGAAGGAAAATGATGATTATTCATTGAAAAAGGTAAAAGATGAAATTCGCGATCTGGAGGAACCTACCTCGGTGGTTGTATATGGTGAAGGTAGTCACCCAGCGGACATAAATCACCACGATAGGGATGACTATCTCGAAAGAGCAGATAACCATCAATGGGGTGATAATCCTGAAAAAGAACAAATCGACCATAGTAACAGTAGAAGTACCAATAGCAACGAGAGCGATGGGGACAAGGACGAAAGGGGTGCACCAGTTATGAAATGGAAATCGAGCGGTGAGATTTCTGCTACCAATGTACAGAGCGGCGCAGAAGAAGGCGGAAACATTTTAAAAAAAAACAACAAAAGAAATAATATACGTGTGAATGTGGATAATTTGAGCAGAGAATTAGCCAACTTTTTGAGGGAAAATAAGATGAACGAAAAAAACAAACGGGACAAAACAGTTAAAAATAGCAACTCAAAAGAAAGGCATCATTACATACGACACAGTAACAACAATTCCTGTTTCCATGAAAATGTCCACAAGCTAAATGAAATATCAACAGATGAACTGCTAAACATTTTTAACAAACTGAATTGCAGTGCTGTGAAGAACGATTTTCTTCCACCCCAAAATGAGCATCCAGGCATTCCATCATCGACAAGTTTTGAAAGGTTCGTAGAAGACTCTGCAGAGATGCACAGAAAGTGGGCACATAGGGACGGCAGTAGGACTGGCAACAGTATAAATGCGAACAGCTTTGCTAGTGGAAGTGCCTCTCATCATGATAAAAACAGAAACCCACAAGGTGCTGAGCGAAGCGCCAACTTTGAGGATGATGCAAACATAGAATTAATCAAATTAATTCTGCAGAAACGAATGAAAAATATCCGAAGTGGGAGAAGACCAGGGAAAAGCTCCATCGAACGCTGCAACGATATGTTAAACAAACACGTGCCTTTGAACATGCTCAAAAAGGACTGCTTTGGCCAAAGTTATAAGGAAGAAGAGTCAAAGGGAAATTCATGTATGGACAATAATCTTAGGAGTGATAGAACAAGAAATGATAAAAGGTTCCATTTTTATAACTACCATCATCACCGCGATAAATCGATGGAAGGGACGAATGGCAGATTGCGGAACATAGCAGAAAGAGAGGAGGACACAATGAAGGAAAGCTCCATCAACGCAAGCGATGATGTGAGTAACAACAGCAGTAGAAGAATCAGCAGAAAGGTAATTAACGGTAAAGCTGTCCGCAGCAGCAGTAGCTACGCTCCCGTGAGTCTTAATGGAGATGGAGATGTGAACAAATCCAAGTACTACTTCCGAAGTAGGAGAAGTAGGGACTATAATAATGATCATGCCGATTATGTCCATTCCAACATGGTAAAGCAAAAAAGGGAGCCATCAGAAAATAAAGATGCAAAAAGGTTAGCAGATGATAACTCCCCTTATGTGAGAATCGCAACAGATGTAATAAAATGGATGCTGCAGTATAAAGATAATTGTAGGATCCAAAAGACAGATATGAACGATAACGCGAATAATACAAATACGAGTAATGACAGCCATGAGGGAAATTACGGCAGTGATGGCTGCGGAATTAGTGATTACAATGACATTTTAAACAACGCCATAGCAGATGTTGTTAGAAATTTACCCCCCAGTGAAATAAACCGCTTAATAGCGAATAAGGGGAATATTTTGTCCAACACTGTTAATGCCCCCCAAAGTGGCAAAGACAGTAGGGCACAGATAAGGAGTCGTAATGAACCCAGTTCCAGCAGCATGGAGAAGAACGAAGTTCAATCTCATTATAGCAGTACATACAATAACACTAGTAACAACAATAATATAATTAACCCGTTCAGTAAAGTCAACAACTTAAGTAATGACGAAGACAATTCTCATTCCCTTAGTAATGGGGACATGGCACATATAAGCTTAAACAAATTGTGTGAATTGGCCTTTGATCAACATTTTCAAAACTGCTCTACAAAAAATGACACTGATGTGAGAAACCCACATTGTAATAATATCGGGAATATATTGAATTTGATAAAAGGCACAATGAAAAATAATACCTATGGTGACGTGGCAAGTGTCCACAGTGACTCACTGCAGAGCGAAAGCGGCAGTAGTAACAAAATGAAAGTAGAACAGGATATTACGAGGAAAGACTTGTCTTTACCCCCTGCGGCAGCTACAATTATTGGAGGTACAGACCACCCAGATAATATTGATGATTACCATCTTATGAATGAAACGCTGCCGAAGGATGCTTCAAAAAGTAGCTTGCTGGAGGACGGCAAGAGGGAAAGAGATCACCCAAATTCAAATGGGGATAATGAAAATAACGCCAGTAATGCGAGCGAGAATGTTGTTACCAATGGGATGGTCAACAGCGCGAGCAATAGTGGCAATAGTAATAATAATGCCCTTGGGGGAGTTCACCCCAAAGCACGCGAAGAAATAAACACAAAAAATTCCACCAATGCCTGTCATAGTAATAACGACACCAATGACAACAGTAGTAATACACAGGCAGACAATTTTAATCATACGAGCGATGCTCATAAGAACATCAGGCAAGCCTTTAACCTGTCGGATGAAAATATGGACTTAATTTACAATTATTGCATGCAGGCTTGTAAGAAAAGCATGGCGCACACAAAGAACGGGTTACATAATGAAAACAGTGATGCAACAATGGGCGGCGGAGTTGAGCCAGAGGGGCATGTGATGGCCAGTAATAAGGGCCTCGTCCACAATCTGAGCAACAATGTGCTAAGTGGCAAGGGCAGCACCGAGTGCGATAGTAGCAGCCAAAATATGAAGGCATCAAAAGGTGAGAACGATAACCCGAAGGAAAATGGCAGCTGCAACAACAGTGGCTACAACGACAGCGCAATTAACAATATTAGCCCTAGTTTTAGTGATAATTATAATAATGCAAAAAGCGTCATGGATCAAGTGAATAGCTTTTTTCACAATTGCCTTTTCAACCTAAAGAAAATGAACTATATGGCTCTGTACGAAAACCCGTCCAGTGTCGAAAATGAGAACGATGGCGGTAAGAACAATAACCGCAGGAGCGATCCCGCTAATAAAACTAGCAGCCACGTCAACTGGAGTAGTGGCGGCCCTGTCAACAACGCCGAGTATGACCAAATCTTATGTCACCTAAAGAACAACCTGAAAATTAGCGACAACACGAAAAGTGTAGACCAACTATTGAACGAATGCTTGAATTCAAATGAAGAACAGCATCAACGGTATCACAAAGGGAATGGCCTAACGAAACATAACCCTCTGCAGAATGTCGAGTCAAGCAATTTGCTAAAGGCGATAAGAGGGAAGGATATGTTCGATAGCAAGAGAGTGGTGGCAACCTCTGGGTCAGGTAGGGGGAAGGATCTAAAACGCGTGAACGGGATGAACGGCGTGAATGGCCGGAACTGCAACGAAGACACCGACAAAGTGGAATCCTTCCAAAATTTAGACAGCGACTTTAGTGCACTGATGAACAAGTATGAAAATAACGAAATGCCCAGCAACTATCAGAAGAGCATTAAGAAAATTATAGAGGATGTTAGCAACAGGAAAAACTCGAGTTTTCATTCCTTCCAAGGGGGAGGCATGGGGAAAAATTCGAGCGGGGAATATGCCGATGAGCACATTTTGAGGGCCATTTTGATTAACATGATAAAGGACCTGTCTAGCGGGAAAGGTGACAGCCCCTTGGCCAGGGAAGCATCTATGTCAAAGGGTGCAAGCAGGCGAAGTGGCTGCAGTGGCAACAGGCATAGTGGATACACCTCCCGGCATAATAAGGGCCACATGAGACATGGCAGTCACGGGAGTCGTGAAGAACACAGACGACACAGTAGCGACGGAAGTTACGAAGAACACATCTTTCACAATGATCATAACAGACACAACCGCCATAACAGATATAGCAGACGCAACAACCATAGCAGCTGCAGCAGTCAAGTTAGGCATGACCACAATGAAAGCAATAACGAATGCAGCAGTGTGTTTACCTCCAGTTGTGATGGCAGAAAAAAAAATTCATCTAGCCAAAGAAAAAAAAGAAACGCAAATCAGAACCATAATACAAGTGCTAACGCCACATGCAGTTATTTCCCGAACAGTGTGAACAGCAATATCAATTTCCAAAACAACGTAGACGCCTTCAAAAATATATACAATAATCTTGTTATAAAAAATAATATAAGTAACTCGAATAATTATTATAGTAACTATTGCCAGAATAATATTATCAATATTAATAATTGTGGAGGGAACAATTATTTTTATAATAACAACAGGGCCAGCAGAAGCGAGAGCAACGCTTTGAAGGACGGTCATATAATGACAGATGCGATAAACCTACAGCGTAGTGTAAAGTGTATGTCAAGCAACAATATTGATTTTAACGCCCCTAGCAATATAATTAGAAGACTACAGAAGAAGAATGTTAGCGTTTGTCACATGTCTGAGTTTAAGCACCCACACAAGGACACGTCCTCTGTGTACGAAAATAACAACAGTTTTGATGATGGGAAACCGCGTGGCGGGTGCCCAATTGGTGATAGAGCAGTGGATGTGAGTGCAAACGACCCAAGTGTGAACGACGACAGCTTTAGCTATGTCCATGCGAATGAGGTAAATGAGGACCCACACAGAAGAGACTCGTTCAGTGGAGACATGCCACATGATGATGAGCTGAACATGAACGAGGCCAATGCAGATGACACAAACATGGACGAAACGAATATGGACAACCCAGACTACTTCGATGCAAACCCCTACGAGGAAAATATCTACGACGTTAATATGCGGTCCACGAACATCGGTGATGTCAACCTTGATGAGGACAATATGTATAGAGGCAATGTGTACAGTGGGAACTTGCGTGGAGGTGATCTGTACACTGGCGAAGTGTACGGAGATAACCTTTGCAGTACGGACATCTACAGCGGTAACATTTATAGGGGAAACATTTACAGGGGTGGTAACAATTTGAACCACACCGATAACAGTGATGACACCAACTACGACGATAATAATAACAATACGACAAACGATCTGCAGGAGGAGGAAGAAATGCTGATCGTCCAAGGGGACCCTATCCACATGCAGAAGGAGAGAGAAGAGGAGCAGCAGGCTAAGAAAAACAAAACCCTGTTCAACCGTAACGGAAAGCATTCAAAATTTGATCAATTGAAAATCGTACAAATGGACAACTGGAGGAGTAATCTCAATGGAAGGAACATTTATGACGATGATGATTTTTCTCAGGTGAATGAAATGGACGTTTACAAAAATGGAAGAGTTAGGGATGAGCAGGGAAACGCCATATCGCGTACGATGAGGCATCCCACTTTTTATTACAGCATTGGGCATGATGTCTATGCTGGTGGAGATGGCGATCGTTATGGTGTGGACGGCGATCCTTATGGCCGGAACGGCCACTGGGGAAACACCACATTTGAGTACCACCTTGACGATAACTTCCACGAGCCAAGGCCCTGGGAGGACGAGGCAAACCTGAGTAATGACTTACCAAAAATGATCAAGAGGATGGACTGTTTCGACGAGTTTCAAATGATGAATAGAGAAAAATATGCTTTCATTTTTAACTCAAATGAGGAAGATTATTATGTGACCGTTCCTAATGCACCAAGTTATGATCACAGTCGTCGAGTGCTGAATGGTGAAAATGGTAGGAAGCATAAAGTGCCAAATGGCTTAAACGCAGAACTGAAGGAGGATAAGTATATCACTTTAAGGGATACACTATGGGAGAAGAAAAGAAACCACATTTTTAACGATCCTATTGGGAGGAATCTTCACCAGGCGGATAAGACGATTTGCACACAGCCTGTGGATATAAAAAATTTAACGCACAATGATCTGAAAGAATTGCTGTTCCAAAAGATGTGGTACAGGAGCTTCATGAAGAGGGAGGAACAGGAGGAAAAAGAAAAAAAAGAAGGAGAGGAGCAGCAGGAAGGGGAAGTAGAGGATGAGAAGCAGGGAGATGAAGAACAAGATGGAGAGAACCCCGTGCAACACAAACGTATGCAACATGAGGAAGTCAAATCGGACAGCAGCAACCCCAACGAAACGAAGGAAAAAGATGAAGATTCCTTGGATCAAGATTTATACTACGATGATATGAACACAAATACAAGTGCAAATGCAGAAGTGACCGGAAGAAGTAACCTGTATAATAGTTTCTCATCGTACATCTCCCTGAATATAAATTTTTTCTGCCTGTTTGACGATATGTACGATAATTTTTTTAAGGAAGATTTTGAGGATCGAGAAAAAATGCTGAAAATTCTCAACCTGAATAAGAACCTCTGCTACAACCAACTGCTCATGTTTTATAAGAAAAAAATATTCTTCGATTGTAAAAATGAGAATGATTCTAACCTGTCTTTGGATTGCTTACCTATGTATGACGGTTCCCATCGTACCTTAGAACAGGCCAAAGGAAGCATCAGTAGTGGTAGTAGCAGCAACAGCGGAAGTAACCTCCCCTATGGAAAAAGCAGTGCAGTGATGCCCCACTCAAGTGATCAGAAAGATAATGCCATTCTAGTGGATCAGAGTAGTTCTACTGATATCTCCCACAGTAAGGATAGTCCTATCCCGACCACGGTGTACAACGGGAGCGCCCAGAAAAAGGATGTGGATATCCACATTAAGGGTAACAAGGAGCACAAAGATGTGATTCAGAACTGTGCCCGCCAGTACGATGTGAACAAGGAAGAATGTGGAGACATTCCACCTCTTCGAATTAAGGAAGAAATGTTTTCCTTCAAGAAGGTAATAAATCAGCTGAAAAATATCCAAAGCATCATTAATAACAAATTTCATCAGAGAGGTAAAACCTACATGGGCGAAATAATGGTTGAGGATGATAGTCTCGGTTTAGGGGCAACAACACCCTGTAGAAAAAACAAAGGAGTAGATATCGATGAGAAAAGGGGAAGAAGGGGCAGCACGCAGCCTGATGATGTCATCACCAACGAAAATGATTACAAAGGTGTGGTAAAAAGCGAGCTGAAAAGTGCACATGGAATTATGCAGAAAAGTGAAAGGGGGGAACAATATTACACCACAGAAGGTATTCCGAGTGAGACGAACTTGGTTCCTAAAAAAATAAATGACCCAACGGAGGAACATGACATCAAAAATGGCATCCCTTTTAAGGCTGACGAAGAATGGGAGGCCACTTGGAAAAATAAAATAATCAAACCGAAAGAGGAAAAGGTGAAGAGTGATACCAAGGAGGAGCCTGAGGAAGGCAAAAATAATGTTGACGCATATGACGGTTATGTCAGTGAAAATTCGATTAACAGCGACCATGCGCATGAGCTCGTAAAGTGTGTGCTAGAGCCTGAAGTGGAAAACAGCTACTTTGCTGACATAAATAATTACGAACATTGTAGTAGCGACTACGGTGGTAGCAGCGTCCAGATGAGCACCCCCCCATCTATGGGTAACGCAGCTATCCAATTCGAAATAAACATCGACTCTTCCATGGAAGAAAACGATGTCATGTTTAAATTTATATATCACAAGATTAACTGCATACGGAACAATATGTGGACACAAAGCATTGACGAGTTGCAGAATAAAGAAATACAAGAGACGTTACGAAAATGTCGCAAAAGGGGAGGTAGACCGAGGGACACAACATGTGACTCCGAAGACACGTACAATGATTATAAAATGGTGGAGAAGGAAAAGGAGCAGTGCGGAAGGGAGATCATTCAATCAATGCCTGCAGAGGGGCAGAAGCAGCAGGTAGAAATGAACAACGACAACACCAACGATATATACTACTTCAACATTTACACAAATCTCTGGGAGAACATAGACCTTAATGTGAGTAATAAATTGTTAGAATCGCTACAGATGAAAAAGAAAAGGATTAATAAATATTATAAAAATAATGCCCATGAGAGCAGCCAATTTATAACCTTCACAGAATGGAACCTATACAATTTAATCATTTCGAAAATTTACAAAAGCTTCGATGTGAAGAAATTCGAAGACTACCAACTGAAGGTTTATAACTTGGGAAAATTCCAGTACGAGCTCAAAAAAAGAGGCACCTACAATTTTGGTATAAAAATTATTGGTGATGCGAATGGGAGTAGGGATGAGGTTGCTGGTGGCGCCCGTGCAACTAAAAGTTCCAAAGGCAAAGGGAACAAAACCGATCAAAAACACAACCATAATAATAATAGTAAAAGACGAAGTTCGAAATTTTCTGATGACTATTCAGACCGTAACTATGATGATGATGATTATTACATGGAAGACAGAGACGATGAGTATGATTTTGAGGGACAGGAAGACGATGTGGAGGAGGACCAGGAGGAAGAAGAGCTAATGAATGGCCACGAGGCGGGACAGAAGAAGCAAAACTATAAAGAATTAGAGGAGGAAAAGGACGACTCGAAAGATTTTGTATTTATCAATGCGGGCGCAGTAAGCTTGAGAGACACTAAGGATTCTAAAACGGCTAGCAATGTAACCAAACAGAATGGAGAAAAAAATGTCCCAATGGTAAACAAAAATTTGCGAAGCAGCAATGGAAACATTCACAACAGTGGTAGTAGAACCTTCTGCAAAAAGAAGAGCAAAAAAGGAAATAGATTGTGCGTTAGCAACAAGGATTATCAAATGTATAATAATAGTGCCGACCAGAAGGGCGCAAAAGAAGTGAGGGAAGATAAAATTACCATAGTTACCAAGGAAGAAGTCATGTGGAATAAAAAAATGAAAAATGCCTTTTCCACGAGGGAAGAAAAAAAAAAACTGGACGATGGAGAAAATAGCAACAGGAGAAGCACAGCCATGTCTTTGAGAACGAAGAAGAGAAACAGCGTATTGAGCGGAAATTCAACAGAAAGCAGTTTGATTAAGGCCAATAAGAGGAAAAACAAAAAATTGAAAATTAGCACAAAGGTAGATAAGTACGCTGAGAAGGTCATGGATCTGGGCGCCACGCTTGTTAGAGGTGGTCGAATTAATAACTGCAATGCCAGCAAAGGAAGTAACAATGGATATTCCCGAAACAGGAAAGTACAAGTATTCAAAAAGAGGGTAAGTTGTAGAAGGAACTTCAACGCCTTGGTAGATAAGAAGCCGAATGTATACTACCTGATACAGCTCCCAGATTATGCAAGCCACAAGGAATTGATAAAAAGCAAGAATGACTGCCTGCCGACGTATATACTCCAGTATGAACATTTAAAGAAAAACGAATGCATCTTCTTTAACATACAAAACCATTACAACAGCTTTATTAACAACGTGTACCATTTTGCTATTAGCTATGATCAATCTTTGAAGCACAATGAGTACTTGAATAACACACTGAATAATGTGAAGGCCAGGTTACACATTAAGAGGTTGTGCCTTAAAAAGAATGTCACTCTGAAGGATGATTTATTCGATGTATGCAACACCTATTTTAACGACATGTACACGTACGACTCGGTGAACAACACTTATGTTTTGGGTAAGAACAAGGAGATGAGAATGAAGAAACTAAAGGAAGCAATAAATAATCAGGACTATTACAGCATGTATGTGAATGATTACATTGAGAATCAGTTGCTGAACAAGCGCAAGAGGACCAAAAAGAAGGGCGCCACGAATGTGTTGTGCGATGGGGATGCCTCAGCGGTGAAAAAGTTGTCGCTTTTGCGCAACAAGGCAGAAGGCGGTGCAGCGGGTAGTGCTTACCCAGAGGGAAGCGCTTATGTTGGGACAAGCGACTATGCCGAGCGGCACAATGCCGAACAGGCGGGCGCGTATGAAGAGGTTATTGCATATGACGTGGCTAAACAATATGAACTGGTTAACCCGTATGGAAAGTCATTCCAGGACGAGATTAAAATGGACAAGCAAAGGAAAATCGCTCGAAATGACAAAATAGAGGGAGGACGAAGTAAGCACGAAGATAGCATGTACGTGGCGCGTAATACATACCATATGCCGAATGTACAGGGGAATGATAAGAACGGTGGCGATGGGAGGAATGGCAACGAAGGAAACGTAGACTGCATGGGCGAAAATTATGTTAACAACGAAAAATTCATAAACCGCGCACATCCTGTACCACGGATGGACGGTGGGAGCAGGGGCCACGTCCATGGAACACCAGAACTGGGCCGCAGCGAGCTCGAACTGTGCAACGGGTTGAAGTATCTGAACTACGCTGTTGACAACGTGGAAGATGATCATGACTGCAACAATGACACATGCAAAAATGTGATGTCTTTTAGCGAAAGAACGATAGAAGAGGAATTAGGGGACATGGACCACGAACCGGAGCAGGAGAACCAACACGAGCAGGACGCCCACTTGGGGGGAACAAACACCTTTAAGCAAAAACAAAACAGGGGCTTTCCACCCGAGGAATTAAGCACATATGCCAATCATTTTGAAGACGAAAATGATAAAACCCATTTGAATAAAACGAACGTACATTTCTTTAACTATTACGAGCAGAATAATAACAATAAGAATAATAATAAGGAAATTAATAAAAATAAAAATGATGACAATAATAATGACAGTGACAGTGAGAATAGGGGCGGGAGTTTTTTCCAGGAAGCAGAAAATGGAAAAAATAAAAATTACAGCGCGAATAGCAAAGAGTTATATTTTAATGGCAGCGTAAACCACGATGACATAATCCAGTATATTGATATACAGTAGGTAGACGCATCTGTGGTTTTCCTTTGGGGGAAATACATTTGGACATAGGCATATTTAGCATTTCAAGTATCATGTGCGGATATGCATATATATGTACCATAATATAACGTGTATGTTGTCCCATATGTAATGTGTGCATTTGTGTAAATTAACTTTTTTTTTTTACGTTATTTTTTTTAATATCCTTTTTTTTTTTATGGTAAATAAATATCGTAATGATGATAATTATTTTTTTTTTTTATCGTTTGTTTCTTTTGATGTGAATCCCCAAGACATAATGGCCTATCCCTTTGTCCCCTTTTTTTTTTTTTTTTTGCTCATTTTTTTTTTTTAAGTGTACTTTTATAAGTATAATATATACCATACTTGGACAAGTATGTTTCATAATATTTATTTATATATATCTCCTATCCAGAGATAGAAATATTTGTTTGATATAATATATTTTAATTATTAATCATAGAAAAACTTGCGCTGTTTTTTTTTTTTTTTTACGCGTACTTGTATGTAATATTAATAACCTATACATGTTCACACTTGTTTTTAGTGGCCCAAACTTTTTTTTTTTTTTTTTCCCTATTCAATATGAATTTTTTTAAAACTATTACAATTAAAAAAATATATATATATATCCATTTATTTATTAAAAATGAATGGTTACTCTTGTAAAATTGACGCTTACGTTAGAGTGTATACAAATAGGTGTACCCGCCCCGTAACCCCAATTTCCTCCTTTCCAGTTTAAATTTTACAGTTACTGGCGAGCTGCAATTGCATCGTCCTGCGTGCCCAAGTATTTACCCTCTTGAAAAATGATGTGGACATTATTAGGGGATACACACATGCGCATGGCGAAACTGCTTCCAGCACATTTTGCAAAAATAAGGGAGGCCCCTTTCCATTCATTTGTGGAGGAAGGAATGTATTGTGGCCACCTCCCCCTGTAGTACCATTTTTAATGGGTAAAAATCTCCAGCAGGAAGTTCCCCTTCTTTGGCACACTTTTTTTTAATCCCGTGTTAAGTCCACGCCAGTGGCTAACTCCTTTAGCAAGCGTGTCTATTCGTTTGTGTGTCTTTCCTTCTATTCATTTGTGCCTCTCGACTAAATAATCACACGCGTTTGGCCGATTTGTCGAAACTCCTCGGCGCGTAAGACCAAGTGAAAACGACAGAATCGTTCTACCTTTAACGGTGTGCTCATAGCATGTTATTCACGTCGCTCGCGTGCGCCATTTTGGTTCATGTGTTTGAAGAGCGTTTTTTTTATTCATTATCTCTACATCCGCGCGCGCTTGTGTGTGTTGTGTTTGCACATTTTTTTTTCTCTTTTTTTACTCACTTTAATGGGAAGCACGCAAAAGGAAATATTTTTATGCACATTACATGCCGTCTTCGCAAAGCATATTCAAAAAAAGTGGAAAGGTTATTTGTACATTCGCATGCATAAATATGTGTAGCATAAATATTGTGGCATAAATATGTGTATGTGGGTCTGCCTCTTTTATAAGCCCCCTCTATTTTGAAATATGCAACGAAAAATTGCCTCCTTTTGTAATAGGGCGAAAATATACAAAAAAAAGGGACACACAAATGTGAAACTTCATTTTACTATTCCTGTCATTAATGGCGAACGTGAATTCCTGCCAATTAAGGACAATTGTTCCAAAAAAAAAACAAAAAAAACATTAAAAATATTTTTTGTTAGCTCCCCACAAATTGGCCTTTATTTTGTACATTTCCCGCGCCTTAAAAAGGTGGCCTTATTTTCTTGCTGCATTGAGAGAATAACACTTTTGGCATTGTTCCACAAGTGTAAAATATGCCCTTTTTTCAAATATAATTGGACCGCATTTTTCTTCCATTCAAATATACACGCTTTCGTGAAAAGAACGAAATGAGGAAAATACTTCCAATAGTGAAGGAGTTACGGAGGAGCCAAGGAGCTGACACGCAAGTGGGGTACGCACAAATATGTATAATATAATGCGTGCACGTATTTATATATCATTTTATTACCCATGTATTTCGGCAGCAGTTGTGTTGTGCTTGATATAAATTTGAAAAATAGCATAGTTGTGAATTGCGGAAAGTTTGCAAGAAAAAATTGACGTCTGTGTTGAAAATTTCTCCTCATTTTTTGTGCTGCATTTTTCACCGCCTTCTTTACCACAATTCGCGTCGCTTTGTTTTTGCCCATTTTTTTTCTCACCCTTAACAGCATCATTTTTCCTTTAATGAATGCTTAAATTGCGTTTTTTCATTTTTTAAGGTTTCCCTTTTTTTTTTTTTTTTTTTTCTCACGTACGGATAATTGTTAAAATGAGAATCACGCCGAAAATATTTTCTCTTTCCCTTTTTATGTAACGTAACACAGGAATTGCTCATACACTTGAGGGCATAAACGAAAAACATATGTTGATGTACTTACAGTTGTGCACGTGTAGGTATAATTCCATATGTGAGAATTCGTACGTTTTATAAATGCATACGTTTGTATGCATACGCTTATATGCATTGTACGTAACTGACGTGATTTACGAAGGGGTTAATCTGAGGAGAAGTCGTGAATTGAAAAAGGGGGACAACACCCAAGCTGTGAGCTGCAAAGAAGAGGGGGGGGTGCCGCTTTGCTAACGTGAGAGAGAGGAGAACAAGTGGTAGCAAATGTAAGCAAAAAAAAAAAAAGAAAACAAAAAAAAATGAAAACAATATTTGTTTGCCTCCTACTCGTTATTGCCAACTCAGTGACTCTTCATTGCCGTGGTGGCGATGACGAACAGAGAGTAGCTTTTAAGGAGAAAAATGTAAATACAGAAAAGGGGGTAGAGGAAAGGCTTATTAAAAGTGATGTGTACGGTATTGGGAATGGCTCCATTGAGGGGTCGGCCAATGGCCGTACTTTCAGAATATTAAATGCGGGAGCAAACGGAAGTAGCCATGGGAACGGCGATGGAAGTAACCCGTACGACAGTGATAACTCGGATGACTCAGATGATGAAGATGAAGAAGAAGACAGTGACGAGAACAATTTTGAAGTGCCCATAAACTGCACAGATGGAGAATGTCTGAACTCCATGGATGATATTAACAAAATAATTGATGATAAAAAAAAAAAATTAAAAAACAGGAGGAGGACAGGAAAAGCTGTGCAGATAATAAAACCAAATGTAAATCATACCGAACTGATAATTATTGAAGAAAATTTAGAAATCCTGAAAAGTATTGAAAAGCCAATCGCCATTGTTTCCGTTTTGGGAGACATGCACACAGGAAAGTCCTTTCTGCTAAATTTGCTGAACGAACACGTGGTGAAAGACGTGAGTAAAAGTGAAAAAACTATTGAAAAAGGATTTAAAGTAGGAAATGACATCACGGCTAGTACATACGGTATATGGATTTGGTCCGAGCCAATTAAAATCACCGTAGAAAAATTAAAAAAAATGTATGACTATATTGATAATAATTTCACCAACTTTGTAAAAAATTATGAATATGAAAAGGATGAATATAATGAAGAAATTATAGATTTGCTAAATTTGTACAAGACAGATGATTGGATAGCTAAAATTGATGAATTAAATTTGGCCGAGTCAGAAGAAGTGAATTTAATCTTAATGGATACACAGGGGTTGAACAGCCCAAATGTGAATAAGCGCTATGATGAAATATTGTACGCCCTTACAAATTTAATATCAACCGATATTATCTTTCTTACCATGAAGATGATTAACAATAAGGATTTGGAATTTATTGAAAATATTACGAAGGATGCTAATTTGTTTATGCTCAGAGCGTACACCCGATCGAATGGGTCCACATTTTCTATAAAGAAAAATAATTTTGATAAAATTTTAGACCATATGGATCATATAGAAAATAATTCTTTAATATTGGAAAGCATTGCTTCGAAGAATTTGATGTGGGTGGTCCACGATTTCAGTCAACGGCTCGATGTGCGAAAGGGGAAGTTGTGGTTAGACATTCTGTTAAACTCTGACCGAAGAGACCTAGACATCAAATATTGGAAAAAAATCATCTCCAATAAAAGCAAGGAGAAGTACGATGCATATACGACAAAGCAGAAAAAAATCGCTTACCTAAGTTACTCCGATAGTGCTGGTGCTACAAATTATGGTGGTGACCAAAGTGGAAGCGCTGTGGTGGAAACGTCCTCCAATTACAAATTAAACGTTCTATACAAAAACATAGATTGTGTATTGCTACGAAATATGTACAATAATAAGGAGTTCGATTTTACGAATGCAAATTTGGCCGACCTGAATGATGAGTACAAGAATGATGTGATTTTATTAAGATATAAAATTTACCTGAGAGCCCTGCTCTTTCCAAAGAAAACGTATTCTAATGTGCAGATGAATTACTTAATGGCAAAAATTAGGAAGGAACAGCAGATGCGCAATCAGAAGGAGGACAAGGGTGGTGCAGCAGCGGCTGCAAAAAAAAACACTGATGAGGGAGAGAGTAGTAGCAGCAGTTATGGCACCGAGATGAGCAATAGATACATGTCGGGCCAGGATGTGTACGACTTTATCACATTTTTAGTCCGATCAGCTAACCAAAACCTCTTCACAAATGTGAATCAATTTTTTAAACAATTCAAAATTAATAGGGCAGAAATTAGCAGAAATGATTTGGTATTTCTATACAAAAAATATCTCCTACAATTTATGGAAAATGAGGATGTCGAATTTATTAGCTACATGAATGACGAGGGGGATGATTTGGAAAATAATATGGGAAATAAATTCAGTTCACATGAAAGGAAGAGCGCTTTTGAAGAGGAAGAACTTTTCAGCGATGACTTCCCGGAGGAAGAAAAAAAAAGTACAGAGGAGCGAACCGATATGTATAAACTTCCCCCACTACTGAACGAAATTAAGAAGTACGAAGAACTGATAAGGGAACAAATTTTAAACATCTGGTATAAGTACACAGAAAGTGATTTCCATGATGATGAGGAGAAGGAGCTAATTAAAGATATTGAAACAAATTTGTATGAAAGGTTAGACCAAATAAAAAACGAAATGATCGAATTGGGAGAAGCAAATATTAAAAAGTTTTGTAAAATTGCATGTGAAGATGCGTTGCAAATTGTCGTGGAGGATATAAAAATGAAGAGTGACCAGTATCCCATCAAGCAGAAAGATCTTATGAATTTCTTCGAATCAGTTAGCTATAATTTGTTGAAGTATTTAGAAAAAAAACTCTCCAAAAGTTCAGAAAAATTAGATTTAATATATTATAAGGATGAAATTTGCAGCCCCTTGATAAACAGCACCTTCCAAGAATTTTATTATTTAAAAAAAAAAAACATTACATTGAATGAAAACCGTCTCAAGTCTCATTTTTCCAATGCAGTAGCAAAGGGGAAGGAAGTGTTCGAAATGTTAGCAGAAAGTACTGAAAACATAACTGAATATTTTAAGAGCAAGAATTTATTTTATGCCATTTTGGACAAGTGGAATGCCGAAGCGGTTAATGTGTATATGACCTCGTTGAGCGATTTTTCAAAGGAGGAAAAAGAAATCAGTGATGAGTATCTGATCATTCTCGATAACGATATAAAACTTCTGAAACAAAAGGCCATGGAGAAGTGGCACAATCATTGTAAAGACAAAACGAACGCTCTGCTCAACATGCATAAAGGTAATTTGAAGAAAAATTTCCTCGAAAATTTCAATTTCCCACTGGACGAACTAGTACTGCAAGATATATTTCTAAGCCTCAAAGGGCAGGAAGAAATGAAGTACATGGATATCTACTGCTCCAATGAAGAGTCCTGGCAAGGGGAGTACAAACAATTTCTCCTACTCACAGATGAGGTATACAAATTTATAAAGGATGAAAATTTGAAAGCTATTCAGATAACCTGTCAGCAGCCCTTGGACGATTTAAAAAATGGAATAGCACACGAAATTCATAAGTACTACATGTGGAGGTCGCTAAAAAATGAACTCTACAATAGAGCACTGGATGTACTCTCCAGTAACATTGAAAATATTTATCTGAAAAATCAAAGGGAAAATAAAATACAAGCATCTATAGAGGAAAAACTGAGCACGAAAAATACACACTATAGAAGAATTTCCAAAGATTTAATGAGTAAAGTTATAAACAGGTGGTTAAATAATGACATATACAATATATATTACCCTATTATAAGGAAGCAGTTGATACATAGAATTATTTGCTACTTGGGTATGGTGATTTTATTGTTTATCACATGTCTCGTGTTGTACTTTAAAAAATTCCACATTAGTTTTTTCTTTTTAATAATAATTTCGCTCTTTATGATATTTGGATATGCTCAGATATCTTTATACATGAAGAAATTCTTCCGACATGTGGTTTTCTATTTTTACGAAGGAATTGCAAATGTCTTTGGAACAGAGGGGGCCATAATTTTCACCATTTTGTTCATCAGTGTAACTGCTATTTACCTGTACAACTATCACATTGTCCGGATTAAGAATAAGGTGGCAAAAGGTACAAAGAAAATTTTCCAGTCCCAAAATCTTATGAACCTGTCAGGCATGAATGGAATGAAAGATATGAATGGCAGTCTCAAGTCGAGAATATTCAAACCGAATATAATGAAGTATTCCGATTATGACAATAGGGATGGAAAGTTCCTCACGTCTAACCTCACGCAGGATTACAAGATGCACAATGATCCCTCGCAGTTCATGGACCTCAAGAGTAGGGGAAATCGAATCAACAAGATGGACGACTACCCACCGTATAGCAACCCGAGCAAGTTTCAGCGCCGCTCCTACTTGGATTAGTGCGCCAAGTGGACAGACAGAAATGAAAAGGGATAAATATTTCTCCACGTAACTTCGAGCCCCCTTCTGTTACCTTCCTCCTGCATTACCTTGCGCACATTTTTTTTACCCCCCTCGTGTTGCGTCTTTTCACTAGAAATATCCATCCCTATACCAATTTACAGAAATGTATTACGCACATGAAGATGCACAAAATTTTGTTTTCCCACAGCATATTGGTAGCAGAGATAATTGGGTCCACTAATCCTGGATGAGCATATCGTCTCCCTCTGGCGTACTTTGTTTAAATATGAATTGCCATTTTTTCCTCTGTTTCTTTTTTCTTTGCTTTTCTTTTTTCTGCTCGGTGAAGGGTGCGGGGTACGTCTCCCCCCTACACGTTGCCTCCTTTTATGCTGTGCCCCCTCCGCGGGGGGATACATTTTGAATTCCAGCCCTCCATGCAAAATTGTAAAATGCACATTGTAATATGCACATTGCGCGTTGCAAATTGCAAATTTTACGTTTATGCTTTTCACCTATTTTTAAGCCCTTTGCATTCCCCCCCGCGCTGCACCGTTGGTTTACCACCAAACTGCACCTGCTGCTTGTTCCTCCAGGTGTGCATATTTATCCCCACTGCCGCGAGGTGGACAGCGCATCTGCCCTATGTACCTTTTCTATACCCTCTCATGTTGCACATCAGTGGACTGTGCCTATATCAGTCTGCATGCAAAATTAAAGTAAAGAAGACATGCGCACTCCCTTATCCTTCATTAACCAGCGCAGCCTTTTTTTCCTTTTTTTTTACCCATCTACTCCGTGTTCGGCTTGTTATATGAATACCAATTTTTTGTTTTAATTTTTTTTTTCCTCCCAAAAATAAGACTTACTCATTTGGGTATGAAAAGATCGTATTAGTTGTTTTAGTTTGCTGTGTCCACGCGTTTTCTATTCGCGCGTCCTTTGTTGTAGGGACCCCGTCCCATTTGCAATCCTTAGTAGGAAAAAAATGTACTCAAAAAATGAATCCCCCTGGGCACAAAAATGGAGCCACGAATGTGACGAATTGGGGATATAATAATCAAAATGCGGGAGGTGCTATCCTCTGGGACGTCTTTCTCCTTGCCACGGTCACAATGATAAATACTGTATAGCATATGGTGCAGGAATGGTGAAGCTTTCTACGCATGTCCTTCTTTGCACTTGCCACGCGTCCCATAATTTAATCCTCCCACTTGGCGCACATTTTGCAGAAACGAATGATAGGTGGTACCCCTTGTGTGCATGTTTTGGCAAAAAAAAAAAAATAAAATAAAAAAGGTGAGTACCTTCCACATGTGCATATATAATAGGTCCACCTTCAGACGGCCCTTTTCCCTGTATATAATGTGTTCCTGGTGTCATCCAGACCAATCCGATCGTGAACGTAGTTCAAACTTTTGCTGCAGGTTCGTTCGAAAATGTTGACCTCTGGGACGCATTTGCTTATATCGTCATCATACTTATGCAGGCACAAAATTAGGGGTTGCATGTTGCACACGATTTGTTCCTTCAGCTTGGACCCGACTTTGAATTCCCCCATCTGTGGCATTCACGAGTGGACAAACAGACGTATCGCTATGGCTCTGTGTACCTACGCATATATGTATACTCCTACTTATTTATGTATCCTTGATGCATGAACAATGTGGACCAAACGTGACACCATAGCTTGGTTTGTTCTTCCTCCGGGAACTCCAGCCCTGCTGCAGAAAAACGTGGGCGAATGGTTAAGTGAGTGAATATGGGTTATATATTAGGTATGTTCGCTTGCGCATGCGTGGCCTTTCTGTGGGCATAATTTAAAACTCACACCTGTTTTTCCTTGATTATGTAGGACCAGATTTTTATCTTTTTTAAAAAAGAGGCCAAATAATAAATTCGCCGTCATTGAAGGCGTTTCTTTTTTTACAATTTTTTTTTTTGTTTTTTTTTATTTATTGTATTATTTTTTTTTTTTTTTTTCGTTCACCGGTGTGACGCATAGCCAACCAGGTCGACTCTCACCATTTTGCGAAATCGTTTTTAAGGAGTTGCCTTCCACGCAGAGTGGAACGCCTCAAAGGGAACAAATTGTCATTTTATGCGGCTGTGTGAGCATGGCCCCAGTAAATAAGCTGAAGGGGGATGATAAGTAGCAACAAAAGGAGGAGTGGCTAACTGCACGTTCAGTCGTTCTGTGTCGGCGCTGTTTGATCGATTCATTGTTCCTCCAAATTTGTACATTTGGGGTTTCGGTCCATGACCCAAAACATTGTACTTGCGTTGCAAACTTAATGTGGGAGATTCTCCTTCACCGCGAAGAGATTCTCCTTGTGGTTCCAAATAATAGCACATTAACACGGTGCCCCTTTTTTTTCTTGTCGAAACGTGGGGTAGTCTCTCCCTCATGTGAGGTCTAGGCAACGCACGTGTAACTCTTACGCGTAGGTTTAGACCCACGGGTAGAAGCAGCGTGTGCACACGAGGCCGCAGTATATACCGAAACCCACTCTCCCCCTGGTGCCACCATGAAAGTTGATGTTAGTGAAATATTTCGAAACTACGACGAGAAGAAAGCCGTAGAACATATCGAGCACCTGGGACATGACATCAGAAGTAAGGAAGAGTCCATAAAAACATTTTTGAAAGAAAAAAGCAGCCATGTGATAGATAATACAATAAAAATTAAAAGTGTGTATGCAAGTGTGGACAAAATAAAATGCCTTTTGGAAGACATCGTTTGCTCTTACAATGATTTAATCGGTGGCGTTAGAAATACAGCATCGATGAATTTTGGAGACGCATCAGTGCACACACAAAAACTGGGCGAATCGGAAAAGGACATCATAAAAGAGGTGTGGAAAAAAAAGTGCGACAGTTATGATTTTTTATTTCAATGTTGCCATTTGGGTAAAAGCACAGGAGGAGGGGAAGATACCCCATGTGATAATGCGTATGATATTGTGAAAACGGAAAAGGAGGAACTATGCAATTACGACTGCTTCTACCTTAACAACTACATAAACCATGTATATATTGATGTGAATAAAAAGATGAACGAGGAAAACTACTCGTTTGTTCTAAATAAAATATACACAGATATATTTCTCTGCATCAAGGTCCTCAGTTCTTTACTCAAAAATGAAAAAATTAAAAACATTTACATTAACATGTTTAATAGCAATAGGTCCATACTCTACTTAAATACGTATGTAAATAAACACAAGGAAAATTTCTGTGACATCCTCCTGAAATTGATATATGCCTCTTACCACAATTTGGCCTACAACTACTCATGTAGAATGGACAGCATTGCCCAGTCCATAATGATGTTGTTGCTTTTTTACAATAAAGAAAATTGCCAGCGCGTGGACATTTTAAAAAACGATTTGTTCAAGGAAATTCTTAACGCGAGAATAAATTTGTTACACAACTTTGTTCGCAGAGGGAGCCACGTAGAGCAGGATGAGGCTCTCACCCTGCGCAAGGTACAGACATTATTTTTACAAGTCACTTATCTAGTTTTACACACCAAATATGTCATCCTTCTGCTGATTGATGTGAGTAATAAGGGCTTGCGCCAAGCGGTGAAGGACGGTCAGATTAACCCTCTCGAACAGGGATGTCCCCTCGAGTGGGAGGATAAAATTAAACAAGCTTATGACGACCACACTCGTGGGAACGACGCAGCGGACACGGAGGAAAACCTCTTCCTGCGAAGAATGCAAATGGAGCTATTCATCCTGCAGAATATACCTCATGAAAAGGCAAAGAAAAACAAGCAGTACTTTAATTATGCCATAAATAGCATGGAAGAAATAAAGAAAATTCTGAACGAAGGAATTGCTGACAAGTTCAGCTTACTACACAAAACCTATGTCCAATTTGTGCACCTCACTTATAAGTATATGATCCACCTTGTGCATGTCTACTACTGCAAAAATGATTACGGCGTAACGTGCGACCAGTTGTTCACAGAGTATGCAAATATAAACAGACTGTATAACAAAATGAGGAGTAAAATGGACATGAAAGAAAAGTACTATAGTAAATATATTAAAGATGTTGATTTTTACCTGAACAATAATCATCTGCATGATACTCATGATGAAATTTTCGAGATTTTTTTTTTCCTTTTTTTTAACAAATTTGTGTGTGCAATTCCGTTTTTTGATCAAAAGCCAGTTGATAAATGGAAGCTAGTAATGACCAAATTTTTACACAATTTGTTTTGCAACATATCCATTTCTTATGAGCGAAATTTCGAAATTAAAAATTGGGTGTTTTATTCATTCCTGCTGAATTCATTTTATTACTATTACGAATTTTTTTCCATCGATTTGGATAACATATATGCACAATTTTACAATGTGGACAGGGACTCAAGTGAAGATCAACATACAAAAAAAAATAATAATCACAAAGAAGCGACAGAGCGTTTGCATGCGGGGTTTAACGCATCCAGGGAGGGACATTTTCATAATGGCTTTAAAAAAATTTTAAAAGAAAAAATTCACCCCCTTATATTTTCAGCCTACAAGTTGATTATCTTCGTAGAAACGAAAGAAATTAACCAAAGTGCAAATGCGGACTTTCTGCTTGTAGACAAAGGCGCACATGATGCTGCTGATTTTTTCAACATGTTCGACTCGTTTATGAGTATTTTGAAGAGCCACACTGGGGAAGGGACACACGCCAGGGATAATGCAAACGGAAACGACATCGTACAAGAACCAACTTCCAGCCGCAGTTACGCAAGTGGCGCCCAAAAGGAGAGCAGCAGTTGTAGTTTAAATAAGTGCTCTAATCTGGTATCCTTCTTACAAGTGCCGCTGGGGGAGGAGCCCACCCATGTGGCAAACACCCCAAGGGGCAAGTGCCCGAATGGTAGGGCCAACACGCATGACAATAACGTGGATCGCGAAATGAACCTCGACCAGGAAGAACAAAGTGACATGCGCAATTGCGGTGACCAAATCGAGCAGATAGAAAACTCGGAGGAGGAATATAAGGAGCTCCATCTCTATGTCAACCTGCTTAGGCATAACGATAAGAGCGCGTGGAACCATTTCCTCAGTTCCCGCGAGGGAAGCGATAAAGAACCACTAGCGAACGACTTCGAGGGGGAGCCCAATTTTTCTCTCAATGATTTAAAGAGCATTTTTCTACACATAGTGTATAAGATATTGAAGGCGTGTCTGAAATGCTTCTGCGTGGGGTACCTGGACAATTTGAAGGAGCATTTGCATTTGTACCTGAACATGTTAATAAATAATGATATACAAAATATTTTATGTGAGAAAATGAACGGCCACTTGGTAAATATTTTCTCCTTTTCCAACCTTTTTATCCTCTACGTTGAAAGGTTATTCAACACGGATGTGTATCGAAGCATAATTATCTACCTAGTGAAAACTGCGCTACAGAAGGAGATATACAAAATATATGCGCAATTTATTTGCCTAGTACAGGAAGTGTACTCTGCCCAGTATGCACACTCGAATGAAAAAAATAAAACGCTCTTAAATAAAAAAGTAACCGAATTGTATAACATTATTTTGTTGGACTTATCATGTTGTGTATATATATTGGACAATAATAATATTATACACAAATCCACATATGATGATCTGATGCGGCGATATGAAAACTACGAAAGGTATTATATCAAGTCCTGCCTTTACTTTGTTGACGCATATAAAGAAAAATATAATGTGTACAGTGAAAAAAATATGAATGAATGCAATGCGGGAAGTCACCCATTTTGGGAAAAGCTAAACGAAAAAGACGCGGAAAAGAAGCAAAAAAAAAAAAATGCAGAAATGTACACCTTTAAATATTTAATTGATAACATTTTGGCGGCATTGAATAAGCTCGATAACCTTAATGGAATTATTTTCCAAAAGCATATACGCCTCTTAGCTCAGAACTTGATATGTGACTCGTATTTATTATATTATTTATTTGTTCAAGGACCCACCATTAATAACCTTTTGGGCAATGAGCAGGCGGACACAAAAACGAGTTCTTTGGAAATTTTCCATTTTAATAAAGTCAGCTCCATTGATGACAATTCGATTGAGGACAATTTGTTGAAGCTTTTTTTTTAAAGGCGAAATTTTGTTCGCAGCTTGGATAAGGCCCCCCGTTAACTGGACACTCGTGTTTGATCTTATATAAATATGCCTTTTTGTCATAACGCCTGTAGAGATAGACGGGCACTTTTTTTTTTTTTTTTTTTTTTTTTTTTTTTTTTTTTACGACTTGTTGTACTACGCACCCCTGTGCAAAATGAAAAGGGCTGAGGATAAAATTTACGAGGAAATTTGCAATGAAGATGAGTATAAAAAACTGTTTGAAGGAAAGAATGACATCCTCTACATCGTAGACGTTTATACCAAGTGGTGTGGACCATGTCTCTTCACCTTTGAAATTATAAATAAAATTTACAAAGCCAATTTTGCCTTCACAGAGAGCGTAAAAATAGTAGCTGTGTGCGCGCAAAATATCGCCTCGTTAAAAAACTACGATAACAATTCCAAGCCATTTTACTTAATACTGAAAAATGGAGAAATTATTCGCCAAATTCAGGGCTGCAACACGCCTCATATATTTGCGCTGATTGATGAGCACTTGCTAAGTACCAAATTTAACTAACGGTTTTTTTTTGTTGAGAAAATGTGCGACGTCGAATGTCGCTGGACAGTCGGGGAAGAACAGTTACTACGATGCGTGGAGAGGTGCAAAACACACACATGTCAAAGTATTCCAATGCCACACTGCCACAACGTCACAAAATGACTAACGCGTGGGCAGAGGCATGGAGCTGCTAACGGCATACCAAGTTGTCGCATAATTCGCACGGATTACAACGCGCGCGGTTGGAAGAATGCCTGCGTCATGCAGAAAAGCGTGCATCTTCTGTCTTTATGTATGGGCGCATATGTCCATGCACATGCGTGTACTGGATTCACGCTGTGTTATCTGTGCATATTCATTTGCACACAGTGCGCCATTCTTTTGGTGCGTTTCCCCAAAACAGGGTTCCTTCCTGGCGCTGTTGTATACATATAAGTGCACACTGCGTGGAGAATAAATTTCTCTAAGTTGTTTTTTTTTTTCCCCCAATTGGGTACTCCCCTTAATTAACACTTTTACACACAGATGCCCCTTTTTTCGTTAAGTGTACTTACGCATTTTTTAAGCACTCATTAATCTCCGAAATGATGTTTGACATGGCCAAAATTTGCGCGCTCAATTGCTCGATTTTTTCCGCGTACAAATTTCTGACCTGTTCAGGCACTTTTTGCTCATAGTTTGGATCATTGGTTTTTTTCAAATAGGAATCTAAAGAACTCTGGAGCTTTTTATTCTTGCTTTGCATATTGGTCAGTAGTGGCTTCAGATACTCCTCAGTGGACTGCACGTAAATAATGAACTCGTTGGCAACAATATCCTTCAGGCATTTTTTTATTTGAGCACTGAGATCATCGGAAAGCTCTTCCACATTATATTTAATTACAGTGAGGTTACCCAATTTTGCCAATGTCTGTATTTTATTTTTTACCTTCAAAATAAAACATTCGTCTTCCTGACTCTTCGCAGCGATGTAGCAATTGAGTTTTATCTTGGGAGGAATTTCCAGATTAGAAATGAATGACCTGAACTGCTTAACAATGCTCATAAATTTGTTCATTTCAGAGTTGATTTTTTCATCATTCCAAGAAGGTATGTACTGTGGGTAGGGGGCTACGGAAATGGATCCAAATTTGTGTCCCTCTGCAGCGATCTTGTGATAAAGCTCTTCCGTTATGAAGGGCGAAATGGGGTGCATAAGTCTCAGCCCATAGTCCAGACACGCATGTAAAGTTTTGCTAGCATGGAGTGCCGTTGAACCGGACAGATGATTGCCTTCACTGACGGCATTGTTGTGGTGGACGTGGCTATCCCCCGCTGTTGCGTCTTCCCTTTTCTCCTCACTAGCCGCTCCGTCTTCCTTCTTCACTGGTTCGGAGGACTCCACATTTAGACGGGCCTTGATAAGCTCCAAGTACACATCACACAAATCGTACAGCCAAAAGTTATAAGCAGAAAAAGCTACCTCAGAAAAGTTATAGGAATCAAAACTTTCATTAGCACTTTTTATATACACATTTAGCCGATGGAGAATCCACTTATCTTCCCACTCTAAAGAGTGTACATAATCTGGTTGTGAAAGAAGGACATTACAATTGTCATAATTATCTGGCAAGGTCTTCAAAAAGAATTTAACAGCATTCCAAAGTTTATTACAAAAATGTCTATACCCGATTATTCTATTAATGTCTAGGTTTACATTTCTACCCTGCTTTAGATATGTGAGGAGACCAAATCTTAGAGCATCGGTTCCACATTCTGGGATTCCTTTGGGGAATTCTTTTTTCTGTAATTCTAATGCTCTTTTAATTTCTTTTTCTGGTAAATTTCCTTCATACAATTTTTGATTTAGTCCACTTAAGCTAATACCATCGATGATGTCCAAGGGGTCCACGACGTTCCCTTTACTTTTGCTCATTTTCTCTCCTCTGGAATCCCTAATCATGGCATGTAGGTAGATGGTGTTAAAAGGGAGTGTCTTCATTAGGTGTAGAGAAACCATTACCATTCTAGCGACCCAGAAAAAGAGAATATCCTGACCCGTCTCTAAAATACTGTTTGGGAAAAAGTGTTGGAGATCTTCTGTTTTTTCTGGCCACCCTAAAGAACTAAATGGAACAAGGGCGGATGAAAACCACGTGTCTAGAACATCTTCATCTTGTACCAACTCGAACTGTTCATTTTGTGGTACCATATTCTTTGCCTTCTCCATGCACTCTTCGTATGATCTGCCTACAACCCACTTCTCCTCTCCTTCCTGCGCAGTGACATCTACCTCTTCCAATTGTGTTGCCTTTGCACCGTTCCCATCTACTGCTCCGCTTGGATCCCCCTTTTTGACAATTTTGTAGGCTGGAATTCGATGTCCCCACCACAACTGCCTCGATATGCACCAATCGCGCACATTTTCTAGCCAGTAAAACCAGGTGTTCTCATGTTGCGCGGGAATAATTTTGAGTTGCTTCTCCTTCACGCAGTTAATGGCTTGTTTGCCTAACTCACTACAGTTTACGTACCACTGTGGTATGAGCATGTACTCGATGATGTCATTTGTTCTTGAACACAATGGAAGAGACATTGAGTTAGGAATTTTATCCGACAACAAATTTAACTTTTTTAATTCTTCCTGAATTTTAAACCTACACTCAAATCGATGGAGTCCTTCAAATAATTTCCCTCCATTTTTGTTAATATGTCCATCACGGGTAAAAATATTTATTGCCTTCAAATTATGCCTCTTCATCATTTCGTAGTCATTTTTATCATGAGCTGGTGTTATCTTCACAGCTCCAGTACCGTATTCCATGTCCACATAAGAATCTGCAATGATGATTACTTTTCTGTCTGGAATGAATGGGTGTATAATTTCTTTTCCTACTAAGTGGGCATACCTTTTATCATTTGGGTGCACAGCCACAGCAACATCTCCCAACATGGTTTCAATTCGCGTTGTTGCCACTTCAATTTTTTCTTCACTATCCTTTATTTGGTAAAAAAACTTATACAACACGCCAACTTCCACCAAGTGATGAAATGAAGGGATTTTAATTTTTGTCGGTTTTTTTATTTCTTCAAGATTCACTTCAATATCTGAGAGAGCAGTCTTTAAATGGGGGCACCAGGCAACCAATCTGTTGTCCCTGTAAATCAGTCCGCTATCGTAAAATTTGATGAAGGCTTCCTTCACAGCTTGTGACAATTTCTCATTCATGGTGAAGTACTCCCTTGACCAATCAACGGACGCACCGATTCTCCTAATTTGGTTATTAATTTTATTTCCATGCAGATCCTTCCATTCGTAAATTCTTTTCACAAACTCTTCTCTTCCATAATCTTGTCGTATCTTTTGCTCCTTCTTAAAGAGCATTTTTTCCACAACAGTTTGCGTGGCTATCCCTGCATGGTCTGTTCCTGGGATGTACAGGGTTAAATAATTTTTCATCCTTTTGTATCGAACTAGGGAATCTTGAATGGCTATGGTTAAGGTGTGGCCAATGTGTAACGTCCCTGTGACGTTGGGTGGGGGTAACACAATGACGAATTTGTCACTCCTCCCCTTATTTGCAAACAACTCCTTCTTCGGTTTGAAATAATCATTCTTTTCCCAGAACGAGTACCACTTGGACTCCACCTCCTTCGGGTCATACGCATCCTTCATGCTCTTTAAATTTTCTTTTATGTTTTTTCCTTCCATTTTGTTCAACGTGCAGTGTAAGTATCTTCTGGGTTGGTGGTAAGCGGTTATCCGTTTGGAGAATCGTACGTTCATGCGAAAGTGGTTGTAGGCTTGTCCCAAGCGAATTTGTAAAATTGGGTCAAAAAAAAAAAAATATATATATGTATCACGCAAATTTAGCAAAACGATTGCGCCGCTAATGATGATGAGGATGATGTGGATGATGAAGATGTTGTCGACGGTTGCGACCTCACTTAATAATGTTCACTGCCATTTCGCACAAACGGGTTTACGCCTTTCCCCTTTGGACGGTGAGAATGCCTTCTACTTGCAGAACACAGAGGGAGGATAAAAATTTTCAGAGCTCCTCCTACAAGTGTACCTTACATAGGGTACTGTTATATTTTTTCCTTCAGGGATGTAAAATTTTTGGCCAGTCAAGCGCAACATAGGGCAAAAAGATCTGTTGCGGGTAACGTTTTCGCGAGGGGTTCCTTCCGAAACGGGATTCACTGGGGAATTTTCTTGTGGCGCATCGAAACAAGAACAACTGCTACTTTTTTTTATATTTTACAAAATGTGGGACAGCTTTACTGCGGGAGCGCAAAGGGCATACTAAAATGAAGAGAGAAAAATGCCCACGTAAAAAAAAACGCGCTGTGGCGACGGCGAAGAAGCCATAACGGCACCCAATATTATTGCGACACTACTTTTTGTGCAGCGCCCCACCATTTCTCAACTTTAACATGGCGAATTTTTTTACCGCTTCTATTTCGCGCAGTGCCGCACAGCTATCACTGATTATTCGTTCGGTAGAAAAATTTAAAAAAAAAAGTGCTTCCCAACCATTTTTTCTCTTTCCAACGCAGACTTCATTTTTGCCTTGATTTTGTTACATACAAAAAGGGTGGCAAAAAAAAGGAGGCATAGCATTCGCTCGTCATGGTACAATTATGAACAGTCCCTTTTGTTGTCGAATGGGGTCATATATGGGGGGGGACAGTGATATATCGGACGAAGGAGCAGAAATAATATCCCCTGGAGAATTAAAAAAGAAGGAACAATACACGGTTGTATCCGTTTTACGGTTCGGGGATGTGCTGCTTACGTGTTAAGATGTGGAAGTTGCACTCATATGCGTTCTTCTTATGCTTACAATGGGTGAAAAAAAAAAAAAAAAGGAAGAAATGGGCATAGACTGCAGCCTACACACAGGTGAAGTGTTCCCGTAGATGTTTATTCCTAAGGCCAGCTCATATGTACCGCCGGGGGCAACGGTAGCCTCTCTCAGGGTGGGCTTTTGTCTTCCAATTTTGGTGACGGTCCACATGGGGCCGCAGCACAATTTGTGCTTGTACAGTCATGATCATAAGTTAATCTTTTACATATATATATATTTTTTTTTCTCTTCTTCGTAATGGTCATACCTGTCTGTACACTTCTTGTTCCAATGTCTGGTCTAACCGCGTTTGTCGCTAGGGTAGAAAGCGTCCCCAAGGGGGAGATGGACTCGGTCAGCACATGTAAACACCCCTGTAGCACTCATCGAAAAGGCCCTTCTCCCTACATATACTCGTCAACGAAGCCAGTGCCATTTTGAGAGTTGCTCCAATAGTGAAACGAATCGGATGTGCTGCCCCCCCTGTGAAACATATCATTAAGCATTCCCATTTCTAAATCATAATCATTCCGCATACATTCGTACATAGAGAGGTCTCCCATTATAGGCATATTCTCATTATGAAGTTCCTTGTCCCCCCTAATTGTCGTCATTCCTGCATTGTCGTTAGTATCTCCCAGTGTTGCTGTTCCATTGGAGTCCCAATTTTGAAGAATAAAATTTTCCCCTGCATGCAGAAAATTTGTATCAACAAAGTGGCAGGTGTTCTGAAGCAGGTTGGAATTCTCCATACTCATTTCATTTGACATTTCAGGGGCATTCTCCATCACTCCACTTATGGGTCCTACTACCATGTTGGAAAATTTATCTTGTGTTGAGTAACCAAACGGAATTTTGCTTATAATGTTACTCGTGCTATTTACTCTCATTTGATTGGAAGGATTTGTATAACCTACAATATTCGTGTTACTCATTTGGAGGGTTGAAGATAAGTTATCCTTATGCGTATTTACAAAATCTGTTTTTCCGACCCTACCGCTACTACTAATTTGGCACCGTCCATCATTAGCAATTCCAATTTGATGAAGACAGTTCCTTGGAGGTGTGCAATTTAGCTGGTTGGGTTTTTTTTTAGTGTCTGTCTTGTGGGATTCTACTGTGGAGAGGTAGCTCTGCTGTTCTTCTATGTGGTAGGATGTTTTATTTTCCCTCATACATTTCGCACTGTGGAGAGAGCTCATTGGTGTAGTGCTTGCTTTATCATCATGTGAGAAATTGGGCATATGAGAAATGTGTTTGGGGATGGGCGAAGATGCTTCTAAAATGGGGTCGCCTGGTTGAATACCTGTTTCGCATTTTGTCCTGACTGCCCTATTTGTGTCTGTCCCCCCGATATTCCCTCTCCTTGCATGACGATGATTATTATTATTATTGTTATTCTTTTTCTTCTTGCCTGAAATTGAAAAGTTTTTATTAGGGAGTAGGTACCTGCTCCTCAATTCCTTCAGTGCCTTGATGGTAATTTTAACGCCACTCCTTTTGAGCATATCAATCCATTCCCTTTTATACCCATTCCGTTCGCATGCCAGGAGGCAATATTTTTCAGCTACATTCCATATGCCTAAAATGTGGGCAGCTCTGTACAGGTCCCTTATTTTCATATCTCCGAAGGTTGACCTAGAGGTAGGGTACAAGCCATTGGATGATAAAAGCTCGTCACACATTTTCACGTCCGTCATTCTTTTTTGGTGTAGCGCTTTTCGCAATATGGCCCTCCCATAGGTACCTATGGGGATGTCAAACCCAGGGTACCACTCGATCAGATAACTGTTCTGGGATTTATTCGTAAAGGCTTCGCTGGAAGTCTTCTGCAGAGCGTCAGCAGGTGGACTGCTCAAGCTGTTAGGCAGTTCGCCACCACATCGACCAGCAGCCACCGCAGAGACCGCTTCACCCTTGTTCACATTTGCGAAAGAACACTCAAAATGTTGCATGTGCGGCGGGGTAGGCGGTACATTATTTCTTCCCGTAGCAGCAATCACATCCTTGGTGTCTCTTTCCTCATTCATGTTGAAAAAGTGTATGGGAAATTTGGTCCCACTAATTAAATGGTCCCTGTTAATGTCTCTCCCCAAATGGTAATCACTTTTGTCAATCTGTTCTGTTTTGTTAGGACTGTTACCACTGTGGCTGCTTCCAGAATGTAATTTCCCACCCTGGTCGTAACTTGCCCCGTGTTGCTGGCCGACACATCCACCTTCCACACACTGCGTCTTTTCATTTACTTGGTCCAAATCGGGTATATGCATGCAGCGCTTTGTCGAGCTCGGGTGGTCCTCCACCTTGCATGAGTAGTCTAATCTACCATCAGCGTAGCAGCAATGTTGAAGCTGATCATCCGGAGGGTAGTCATCCTCGCGTGGCTTTCCAAATTGAGATGTCCCATTTAAATCTCCAACCGAAATGGCCACTCCGTTTTGGCTTCTCCCCCTTTCACTGCTCGATAAGAATCTTATTTTGTTATTCCCCCTCAGGTCCAGGTTGTCATTTCGAGGTGGATCCCCTAAATGTGTGTACTCATACGGGGTGAAGTTTTGTTCAGTCTCCTTAAACGTATCGTCAGTGGAACATATTGAATTGGTGAAACAGTCCCATTTGAGATGGCTACCCCAGAAGGGTTCACATTTAATGTTCCTTTTATCCTCATTATTGAAATGGTTTATCTGTTTGTTGACCTTTCTATCAGTGGTGCTGTTCATGTCCGATTTGTTTCGTCCCTTTTTGGCCCACATGTGGCCGTTTTGCGTTATGGCCTTTTGGGGGGACATAGGAAGTTCCTCACCCCTGGAGTCGTTAGTAGTTGGAAAAAGCCCATTGGGGGATTCACATCTGGTTAGTAGATTCTCATATAAAGAATTATTATTCACTTGCCGTACCATTCCATGTTTCTCTCCCCAAGGACATGCTTGTTCCCTGTGTGTAGTAAATGGCTCCCCCGTTTTCTCCCCTAGCCTTTTCATGTAAATACTCTTCAGCTCTGTCTTGTTCTCACTTCTCCTAATGAAGATTACGTTTGATCCATTTTCCATTGGGGGCTCTTTTTCTACAATGTTGTGGGGTAGAAGATGATCACCCTTAAGAGGGCTTCCATCATATGAGTGACCCGTTCGCAGTGCACTGTTGCCTCCTTCCCCTCGTCTTGGCATGCCAACACGCGCGAGGTTAGAAGACAACCTGGTGGAGGACTGTCCAATGGAAGCCGCACAGGATTGTACACTTCTACTCCTCATGGTGTCATATTTATTTGCATCCACTAAGGACACAGTGTTCACGGACAAACTTTTTCTCCTTCCTATTGTGGGTGTTTCGTTTATGCAGGATGTTGTGTAACTTCTGTTCTGAATATTTCCATCACTACTTCTTATGCGTATTGTGCGCCTTTCTGGAGGGGACAACAGTTCATTTGTGAGCGTCCTATTGTGCAGAGATGTGCTGCTCAATGTACATGTTGAGTCAGTATTAAGGGAAAAGTTCCTACGTGGTTGTTTCTCACCCTCTGCAAATCCACAACGGATGTGGATTCCCCCCTTCAAGGTTAAAACATCTTTCTCCGCATGGGCATAATCGTCTTCCACATTCTTTAATGAGCCCTTTCCACATTGGTGATAATTCGTATTTGTTCCCTTACTCCTTCCTTGTTGCTTAATTTTTGTTATGCTTCCCCTTGAATTTTTTTCCTCCCAAAAGGGCCTCCTTTTGCTCCAGTAGACTTTCGGTTTAAGTGCAAATTTTTTTTTGTTCACCAATTGAGGAGTCTCCAAAATGGTGAAATTTGTTCCTCCTCTTATTTTTCCATTTTTGCATGAATAATTTGTCTGATGGAAGGGGTAACTTGGTATTTTGTCCCCCAGTATACCTCTTCCCTCACGGGGGTTATTCTCCATTTCGTTCTTTTCTTCTTCTTCATTTAGTGACTTTGTTCGCAGCGATACAAGTTGGTTGCTATTACATTGTGAATGAGTTATACTTACGTAACTTCGTTCCGCATGGTGTACACGCGCATTACGCGGTGATAAATCTCTGCCATGGGGAAACTCTCCCCTCCTATCACCTAACATCCTACCGTGTCCACATTGGTAATCCCAGACCATGCTGATTAACGCTTCGTTTTGGTAATTATTCAAATTGTCCTCCTCTACCTGTGCATGCTTAAAATGCAGCTTTGAAACATTTTCACTCAACTTGGATTGGCAACATATGCCCCCTTGTTCAGATTCGCCCATGGGTAGAGGTCGTACCATGTTCTTCACAAATAAGTGTGTCCCCACATCCTGTATGTCATTCGTGTGCTCATTATTTCTTTCTTCCATATTTCCGTGCTCGTATATTTTTTTGAACTGTTCCGATGAGACAGAACCGTCTTTACGCTCATCCATACAAATGTCATCCATGGGGTTAGCCTCAGATTTGGATGCGCTCGTGCACGTGGTGCTGCTTGTTATGTAAAACTTATTATCATTTTCGTTCCCATTTGTTACCTTTTCATAAAGGGCATCCTTACCATTAGAATGACCCATTCGAGATGAGTTCATGCCATTTGGGGTTGCCTCTTCGGTAGAATACCATCCACAGCTTTTTTGCCTATTGCTAAAAATCACATCTCTGTCGCTACAGGAAAACCATTTCGTAGTCCCCCCTGCTGCACCAGCACAATGTGGTTTCGCCATTCCTATCTTGTTGTTTTCGCAGCGGTCGTGAGCGCAACCATTTTGGTAACCCAACAGTGAATGGTATTTGTTCAGGCACTTATATTTGACCCTACCCAAATTGACAAAGGGTTGGTCGTTACCATTTTGTACTGCGTTATTTCTTTCGAGGTCTGTCTGTATATGTGCAGGGGAATGAAGTGTGTATACTTTGTCTTCAATTTGGTCTCCCTCGTGTTTATTATCCGCTTTTCCCCCTGTGCAGCTTCCATTTCGGCAGAGCACCTGTATCGCTTTTCTTTTTGCGTAGGGTGTATTGCTCCAACGGTTGGTTGTGGGGAAGCCAGCTGCATTTTTGCACTTGTTCCTCAGCCGTTTTCTCATGAGTTTGTAAAATTCTATATCGTCATACGGCACAATGTGAACCCTTTGGTCATGTGGACAAAAGTGTTCATTCCTGTGAACACCTTCCGACTTGGTTGATTTGTCATCTGGGTCTTCTTCCAACTGGTTAGTTTGTCTTTTACGCAAAAGGAAAAGTCCGTTAACCCCTTTCACATCGTCTGGGGAGACAAGAATGTCTATGCCTCTGCTCTCAAAATTGCTGAAATGTAAGTTTATCCTTTTTAAGAATTTCCCCTTTTCATCACTTGACATTTGGGGATCCCGGTGCAGAAGTTTTTCCTTTGGGGGGATCTTTCTAACTGATTGCTTCTGTCCATTACAGCTGTTAAGTTTAACAACATGTGCCCTGTTTTGAGAATTTTTTGCTGTCCTTGAATTCCTCTCCTCTATGTTGAAATATTTACGGAGGACATTTTTGGACTTAATGGGAAAGCCATTTTCGCCTCTTCTTTTTTTACTTCTTTTCCGACATGTAGGCAACTCCGCTCTGGCTCCAGTCCCCAACTTACGTGTGTACTTTTCAACGGCGTGTAGATGATTTTTTATAATTTTTTTAAAAACGGCATTTTTGCCATATCGGTTTTTCTCTCCTTTGGCAAAATATTCCCTTTGAATTTTTTTAAAATTTGATAATTTGCAAATTGGACTAAGTACAGGAAAATTTGCAAACTTATCGAATGAGTCAAAATCGTATTTTTCACCAAAATACATTTGACCTTCACTCGCAAAAAAGCTGTTCATATGTTCACAATAGTCATTACACAAAAAAGAGTTGTTATTGTCATACTGAAAAAATTTACACAACTGTTCCATTTCGTTCTTTACATGTCCACTGTTTATCATGTGTGTATTTTTTGTATGATCAATTTTTTGACGTGTCTTTTTGCTGGGGGAATTTTTTTTTCCATTTAGTACATTTTGGGTTTGTACTTTATGGCCATTTTTAACTTGGACGTAGCTTTGTTCTACTGCCTCTACCCAAAGTTTAATCCTTTTTTTTGTTACAATATTTAGAGCAATATGTATCAGTAGAGAAGACCTCACTTGGGGAGACGGACATTATTTGAGTAGAACGATGTCTGCCTGTGTTTAATCCTTTTGGCTGTTCTTTAAAGGCCATTACAATGGCTCTAAAGTCCGACATGAACACTCATGCGGCCAACTTGCAAAAGTATGTTGCTTCTCGCACTTGTTAATGATCTTTCTCATGAAAGTTAAAAAGAAGTAAACCAGTTATCAAATAAGGTGTACATGTTATAATTCCACAATGTTGGTGGAAATTACAAACTTTTAAAAAGGTAAAATCATATTATTTAAATATATATACATATTTTTTTTTTTTTTTTCAAAAATGGGAATTCATAGAATATTTTTACCTGAACAGTACATGCAAAAAAATAAAAACATAAAATAAAAAAACAAAAACAAGACTTGTATAACGCAATGTGCAATTGTTTTGTTTAAAAGGTGTTCTACAGAAATGTCATTTTGGGAATTACCTGAAAAGTGAAGGGTATGCCATGGCAGCGCATTGCGCGCCGCACATTTTTCTTTGTCACCATGGATATATCTACATGAATATTTATATTTACATATATATGTAAATATATGCGCGTATACGTGCTCCATACTAAACACATTTCAGTGTACGTACACCAATGAGCGCATGAGTGAGGCTGAAAAAATGGTGAAACACAATGAGAGCACATTTTGCAGGATGGACAGCGGCGTTAACACGGGTGGCTTGTGTATACCTCATCGGAATTTCCACACCCTAAGCATTTGTAAAGACAAGCTCATGGGATCATGTTCAATTAGATGTGTGAGTAAAATTCCTTGCCTCCCAAATATAACCGAATGTATCCGTTTATATATTTACGCCTAAGTATAATTTTCCTTTTTTTTTTTTTTTTTTCCTCCAATGAACATAAATTGTCTTTCCTGTATTTGCCATGTGTGCCCTTTGTTTAATGGTGTAATTAGCGCCCACCCGTCATCTTATTCACCATAGCTATATTCCGTTTCAGATCCTTTTATTCATTCTACCTTTGGCTATTTTTTTTTTGTTAGGGATCCGTCTGCCCTTCCCCCACATTCATACAAGCTTTTACGGTTTCCAGAAAAAATGAATAAAGTGCAGTTTCTGTTTCTGCTTTCGCTCATTTCTCTACTGTGGAACGGTGCAGACATAAAATGCTCAGCCCTCACTGGGGCTGCTGCTGAAGGCCCCAGTTTCGCCCAAACGAAGGTACAATGCACACTTACCCTGGCTTGCTAGTTGGTCACATTTTGTAGTTCTCTATAGTTTTCCTCACCTAATGGTTGCCGTGTTTTGTGAACAGTTTTTTTACTTTTTCCGTGTGTCATTTTTCGCGGGACCAACATTTTTTTTTTTTGACGATTTTTCCGTTTCTGCTCAAAATGTAGAAAGGCAGAGGTGGAACAAAAATAAGGCTTTTTTTTTTATGATGTAAAAATGGCGCCTGTATATTGTTCGCCAAAATTATTGTGCAAATTCATTACGCAAATTTCCCCTTCTTCAAATGCTTTTCCGCCCCGTTAGGCCCAAAGCGCGGAAACAACTATGCCTGATTTGTTCAGCCTATTTTCCGCAAAACCGAAATCAGCGCAGCCAATGTTTAACTTTTTTTTGGAGGAACATAGAAATGTAAAAAAAAGGAACGACTGCTCCACACGTGACCTATTGTGCATGAAAATTTAGCGTATATGTAGAGATAATTTTTGAAGAAAATTAAGAGCAAGCAGTTGTGTATATGTGCGTGGAAATGATCTACTGTTATTTGAGCGTGTTCCTCTTTCGCTGCCCCTTTGTTAACTTTTTTTTTTTTTTTTTTTTTTTTTTTTTTTTTTTTTCTATTTCAGTTATGGCTACGACGAACGAAGAACAATGAAGGTATGATCAACATGGCATACTGTTGAAACTCTGAAAGTTAACAAAATGTTTTTGTGGTGTTGATATGTGTAGCGGCCTCACGCTTCACTAGTCTGCTTATTCCCACATGGGACAATAAAAAATTACATATACAGAGCACAAATCACACCTGCACATGTGCACGTCGCGCCCGCGGCGATACATGACCACGTACACCTTTTCAGCCAACAGAAATACGCGAAGACGCTTTTCTGACTTTCAAGAACTCAGACAGAACGACTTATCGAGGTTTCACGAATTGATGGGCATCCAGAATGAGCAAATGAATATGCTGAAAAATGCCATACTGTCATTGGAGGAGATTTAAAAAATGTGGAAAAATGCGAACCAGTTGTCGCCATGCAAATGGCAATTCTGCATTTAGGCGTTTTTTTTTTTTTGTGTGTAAGTATTTTCCTTGGGCTGGCCATCCATCCGTCTCTTCCGTCTTCCTTTTACAATTTTTTTTTTTTTTTTCATTTTTCGTTAAGTACTTGTTAAGCAGCGGCTATGTTTGACTTAGTTTGTGTGTCCGTGTGGGGATAACGCTGCCTTTAAAACGAAGTGCCTTATTTCGATACACAGGTACGGGCGTCATCGCGCATATGCATTTATATAAGTGGTACATTTTGTTTCCGCCCACATATTACCCTTTCCCTTTTTCTCTTTTTTCGTGAAGTGATTCTTGTGGCCAGACAAGGGATGTATAAAATTATGTAACTGTTTCCTTCGTCGCTTCCGAACGGGTAGGCTCGTCTAAAGGCGGACTTTTACCAGCGTGGTGAAAGGCAAGCATATCTACTTGCCCTAAATAATTATCAAAGTTTACGTTATCTGGACGGGGAGGTGTTGTCCCTTTGTCAAGAAAAAAACAAAAAAAGAAATGCGTATACAATGAAGCACAATTTAATGAAATGAATATATGCAGGTGATTTATTCATGGCACAAATAGATCACCCAGGCGGGCAAAAAAAAGAATGGCATAAAGAACGGAAAAAAAAAAAAAAAAAAAAAAAAAAAAAAAGGCCCCCTAAATGGGGGAAAAAAAAAAAAAAAAAAAAAAAAAAAAAAAAAAAAAAAAAAAAAAAAAAAAAAAACACAGTGTACGACAACAGTACACAGGGAATGAGACCATAAAAATGTATAATGCGCACTCTGGCCTCATTTTATGTTTACTTAATATTTTTCCGCATGTGACACGTTGGAGGGGGCACGGAATTGAATCGGATAAAAGGCGTTATTTTTAAAAGTGTAAAAAATAAATATGCTTACAAATTAAGTAGCGAGTAAAATACGTGTTTCCTTTATTTATTATTATTTTTTTTTTTTCCGTCATATAATAAAGTCCTTTTTCCATGACTGACGGCTTATGAGGACTTGCTCGAAGGAAGGCTAAGGAAGCCAAGCATGGTTGACTCTATTTTCAATTGTTGTACAGTGTTTTTTTTCATGCCCATATAAATGCGAATGCGAGGAGGATGCATTTTCGCTGGGGCATAGAAATCAGAGCCATGCAACGTACAACTCGCAAAACAAAACAAGGCGACAAATAACGCCCGGTTAGAAAGCGAGGACGAAGCGTTATAGCGGAAGGATAAAAGTGAATAGGAGGAACCATGGCTGTGGCAGACCTGATTGACATTAACAAGTTGAATGAGCTGCGCAGGACCAACCCCACCAAGGCCAAAAATCTCATAAAAAAGATAGTACGTCGAAGGAGAGAGAGAGGAAAAAAAAAAAAATTATGTGCACGTGTTTAAAGCTGGCAGCAGCGCCCTCGTGGAGCGTATCTGCATGTTATGGAAATGTAAACAAATTAGTTACGCGCCTAAACTTGGTGACAATCTGGCCTGTGCTGTCCATTTGTGTGTCATTTTCCCCCCCTCCATTTTTTTTTTGCAGAAAAAGAAAAATGCCAAGAAGGAAAAGAGAGACAAAACGCAGAAGAAGCGCGACACAACTGGTGGTGTAGATAGGAACGATACAAGCAGCTACCGAAACGAACACTACGTGGAATACGTGGAGGAAGGTTAGAAAGGAGAGAGAGGGAAAAGTAGCCATGTGTATATTCGAACACACGCCGGGAAAATATACCACCCGGCTGAGCGTAAACATAATTGTGAGCAGCGCAACGTACGTATATAATACCGTGGCGTACAAACGCATGTATTGTGCCCGTTTTGTCTTCACCTGCTTTATCCCCCCCCCACACACACACAGCAGATATCGATGAAGAACTTTTTAAAAACTTCCAAGATGTGTATAAAAAGTTTAAAGGCAACAGGGATGACCTAGCCGAATACGAACAGCATATGGAAGATGAAAAAAAAATAAATCTGGACGATAGTAGCTACTCGGAAGACGACTCAGATGATGATGAGGAAGACGACGATGATGATGAAGATGGGGGAAACAGTAAAAAAAAAAAACCCATTTCTAAAAAAGCCCTAAAATTGTTAAATAGACCATCCGTTGTGGAATTAAAAGAATTTGCAAAAAAACCAGAGCTAGTAGAAATATGGGATACGACAGCCAGTGACCCTTTTTTCTTTGTCTGGTTAAAATGCTTAAAAGATTCTGTGCCTGTGCCACAGCAGTGGTGCCAAAAGAGGAAATATATGCACGGAAAAAGAGGCATTGAAAAAATACCATACAAATTACCTCCCTACATTGAAGATACAAAAATAAGTGAAATTAGACAAGCCATAAAAGAAAAGGAAGAACAAAAGTCCTTAAAGCAAAAAATGAGGGATAGAGTCAGGCCAAAACTTCATACCATGGATATAGACTACCAAACGCTTCATGACGCTTTCTTTAAATATGCAACAAAACCCAAATTAGTAAAATTTGCAGATGTGTATTATGAAGGGAAAGAATTTGAATTAAAAACGAAAAAGTTCCGTCCAGGCGTTATTTCAGAAAAGCTGAGAAATGCTTTAAATATAGAACCCACTGAACCCTTGCCTTGGTTATATAATATGCAAAAATATGGGTTACCTCCCTCTTTTCCTTATTTAAATATTCCAGGGTTAAATGACCTTACGTCTGAAAACTCTGGAGGGAAAAATGGCCATGGAAGTACATCAGGTTTGAATCCACAGAATGGTATGAACAAACCGCAGGAAGGGGCCGAGGAGGATGGTAGTGGAGCCAAAACAAAATACGACAATGTAGATGACTCGGGAAATATCGTATATGGCAATTTCATATCTCAACACAAAAGTGAGAACAGCAGTAAATACCCAGACGATTTTCTCTGGGGTGAAATTGATGAAAATTATGTGAACTCTGAGGAGGACGAAGAGGAAGAGGAGGAGGAAGATGAGGAGGTGGAGGAGGAGGAAGGAGATGAAGGTGGACAGGAGGAAGACAACAAAAACAAGAAGAAGAAGAAAAGTAAAAAAGGATTGTCAAAAGAACAAAAGGAAAAAATGGAGGGACTCGATTCGGAAAATGCAAACCTAAATTTGAATGATGATATGATGAAAGCCAATTATAACAGTGGACTGTATAGTGTTACAACGAATACAAAAATAAATGGCTCCTATACTCCCTTCATGGAAAGCGGAGTCACGTCTGTAGACTTAACTTCTTTCATTTCCGGATACGAAACCCCCAAATATGTTTACAATAATAGTTACATGAATCCTGCACATATTAAACCATACACTGTTCTGCAAAAGGAAGAAGTACCCACGTCGCAAAATCATTTGTTTACGTCAAATGTGAAATATAAAATTAATCCCGCAGTTTCTATCATGAGTAAGTCTTCCAATGTTTCAGAGGCAGGGGCAGGAAGTATCACCCCTTTCAGCGGAGTTGCCATGTCAACACCTTATGCGCCTAGTGAGACAGGGAAGAAACTCCAAATTAACCCCCCACAAACTAATATTGAAGATATAAAAAAGGAACTCAGCAAACATGAGGAGTTGTCCAATAAGGCCAAGCTCGTCTCGGCCCAGGTAGACCCACCCAAGAAGGGGAACAAGGAGGAAAAGAAGAAGAAAAAGAAGAAATTCTTCAAATTTTAAGCGGCCTCCCTTTATTTGTGTCTTCCGCTTTTTCCACCAGGATATATCCTATCGGCGTACCTGCTGGGTGGCTACCCACAAGGGAGAAACTGCTGTTGCCTCCCACGTTAAAGCAACATCCACTGTGCATTCTCACGCGTCGATGTTGGAACGCCTTTTTTTTTTTTTTACGTTTTCAAAGTGGATTGGAATAATTTCCACCACGTTTACCATTCAAACACTGCGCAATTTTGTAAATTTTTTTTTTTTTTTTTTTCAAAAATTGGTGAATGTGCTTCATTTAGTGAAGCATACAATTTGGAAGACATACGAAACACGGTGGTCAGGAGAAATAATTTTTTTTGTGTTTGTGTTTTCCGAAGCGACATGGACTTTACCATCATCGGGGTGGACTGTGCATGGCGAGAGAGAGTTCTCCCATATTGTACATCCCATTTGTCGCGCCTAATTGCACAGACCGCAACAAGCGAAATACGTGTACGTACACAGATTAGCAACGGACGAAGTTGAAGCAGCAGGGATCCACATACCACGCCCGTTCTGTAGTACAAATGTGTAGCCGAACTAAGATAATCATCCCTGCACAAAAATGAAAAAAAAATAAAAAGCAACGTAAGGCAGCCCCTTATATAAGTGTAACCCACTTTTACAAACCCCTTTTGCGAAACAGACTGAAAACAGACCGAAAACATAATGAAAAAAAAAGGGAAAAGCAACGATGAAAAAAAACTAATCCTGTACGACATCATGCTGGAGAGTGAATCCTTTTTCATACTAAAGGAGTTGGAGGCGCTTGCGCCAAAGAAGGGGATCCGCTCCATCTTCGTCAAGGGTTAAAATATGAGTACAGAGGCTGCACATTGTTTGGTAAATAATCTTGTGGCGTATGAAAACATATTTATATGTGAACCCTCCGCCCCTTCCTCATGGCGTCTTCCCTCCAATTAGACCTACTACAGCAGCTGGTAGATGATAACAAAGTCAAGTCGGAGAAGGTCGGCTTGCAGAACGTTTACTGGTATGTGGACACCGGAGGAAAGAGAAAGGGGGAGGAACAGCATATTGAGTCGTCGTTCCCCCACACCTGATGCGGGTGCACCTCTTTTTGTGCACTCCGCTGTTTTGCTAATTCGTTACGTATATGTCTTATTCTCCTCTTTACATCGCCTCATTTTTTTTTTTTTTTTTCTTCCCCCCAAGGGTGCTCAAAACTGAGGAGTCCTCCACCTTGCAGAATTCGTACCAGGAGATGAAGTGCGCATAATCATTTTTCAAATGTGTAGTAGTACACCTCGCATGCAAAAAAAAAAAAAAACGAAGAAGCGGAGGTAACACAAGCCCACACAAACACTTCTGTCCTTGCAAGGGAAAAGAAGGAAGAGTATGAAGAGAACGCCAAAAGGGAGAAGGAGGGCTACGAAGAATTTGTGAACTCTTTAAACATTTCGCAGGTAGGATGGGAGCGATTCTTCTTTGCTTTTTCATTATCCGTAGTTCGCCGCTCGTGAGTGTGCATATTCGTATGTACATGTTTATGTTTGCATATGTTTACCTGTCTACACCACTACCGCACTCCACACGCAGGACGAACTGAGAGACAAGATGGAAGAAGCCAAAACGCTAATGAGCCATTTAGAGAAGAAAAAGAAAGAGCTGGAAAATGTGAAGAAGACGGATATAAAGCAGATAGAAAAGATGAAGATGCAAAATGAGTGCGCCTTGGAGTCCATTCAGAGGTGCGAAAATGTTACGAGCGCCACGATTTTGGTGCAGCGGCACTGCCACTTTTAACATTGCACACATTTCCGTGGAAAAAAGCACCATTTTTTTTTTTTTCTTTTTTCCATTTTTCATGGTCAAAGATGGAACAACAACATCTCCTTGGTGAAGCAGTGGATCCAGGACAGAACGAACAAACCCGCAGACACGGTCGATAGGCTGCTGGGAATGTAATATGAATTTATGAACGAAGAAAAAAAAATTAACAAAAATGGAATTTTTAATTTGTTACGTAGCACGAGCTACGTAC